ATCTATCTATCTATCTATCTATCTATCTATCTGCTCATTGATGCACTTCTAACTGAACTATTTTCCCTCATTATTTCTACTTTGCCTGTCACTGTGGACTAATAGACAACATAAGTGATCGTAAGTGCTTTTAACTTTATTGATGTGTTTCTTGTATTAATGCATGTCCTGTTAAAGCTTATTGTAAACACGGTATCCCAGAGGATTTTGTGCACACATAAAAAAGCTCCTTTTAAATGATGATAATCTGACAATGGTGTAGATTTGCAGCTTAGTTCTTGTGATCCCGTCTGTGTGAGAGTTGTGTTGTGAACATGCATCGGTGCTTGATGGTGTTTATTTAGCCTCATTGGCTCCCAATAGGTGACATCCCTGTAGGAACAAGAAGGGGAACGTTACAGACTGCTGTCTGTCAGGAGGCAGCAGGGCTGTCAGATCAAAGGCATGGAAAGATAAAGAGGAGTTAAAGCACTAAGCACCAGCTCCTCTCCTCCTCCTATTCCAGTAATGCAGCAGTGCCTGCAGTCTAAACTTCAATTTGATCAGCTGAGGAAATGGCTTATTTCTTGTATCAGTGGGAATTCTTTCATTACATTTCTTTACTCTTCCAATCTGTCTATTTCAGATTCTCTGTATGTTCACCCTTTTATAATTTTTCGGTCTCCCTCAGCAGTGTGTTTCTCTGGCCGGCATGCGCTCTCTCTTTGCCGCACTTTCATCCATCTCCCCAGTCTGCTTAGCTCTCCATTTTTGTGCTTTTTCTTCTCATCTTCTGCTGAAACCCCCCCCTGTCCTTCTTTTCCAGCTTTACCCATTTACCTACATGTTGTGGATTATTTTCTCTTTTCCTTTGGACCAAATTAAAGACTACGTCTACAAGTATCATGCTGTGACTCATACTCAGCACAGTAATCCAATATCTATATTTATAAAACTTGTCAAGTTTTCAAACCTGCTGATTTAATTAATGTGCAGGCAATTTTTCTTAGTTTGCAACAATAAAGATGCAAAGGAAACCTTTGCACTCTCCACTTTTCCCCACAGAAATTGACATTGACTGTCTTTTAGTCTCACATAGACAAATGTGCCATTTATCTCTTTTTACATCACTTGTATCTATTTTACATTAACTCTCTTACTCACATTATGGTGTATCAATTTCCTCTCATCTGAACCCATTTTCTATGCCACTTACTCTTACTCTTTTCAACGGTCTATATTTCATCTCTTTATCTGGGGAGTCTTTATAAGTGATATTGACTGAATTTACTTGCAAGCAGCTGCAAAGCTATTAGAGTGATTTTGATATGTTTGTTAAGCCTTTAAACGTGGCTATGCAAACTACTATGACTCATACTGGATGATTTATGTTTGCTTGTCATAGCTGGAGCTCTGGTTGTATATCTTATGAGAGCACGTCAGATGAATTCAGCAATTCAAAGTCTGCAAGACTATTCAAAGCATGTCTGTTTAAATATTTTTACATGCAAAAATGTTGTGCATTCTAATCATGTTGAAACTTACTTTGATTTTAGTTCATACAGTCAAGAGGCCCCCTGTGATCACAGGACAGCCAGGGTCTGTCACGGTCTTCGGTGTTGAGGACTTCGTCATGAAATGTGAAGCCTCTGGCAACCCGCCACCAATGTTAGTAAAGACACACACCCAATTGAAATAAACCTGTTTGTCTATGATCGAGATTACCAAATTTCTTATGCAGTCTTTTAAGAAATCTAGAAACGGTGACCTTCCATCTCCTTGTTCAGCTGACATCTACATATTAGTATTACATGAGAGAACAGCTTCTTGCAGTCAGAGTTCTTGTTTCAACAGGGGATAAATGTCATTAAGCCCTCGAGCAATCTCCTCCCAGAGTGTCTTTGCTTCTCTGAAGTGGAAAACCGCCCCGATTGCCGAGGACAAGATGAATATCGCAATTACGCAGCTCAAGATTCTGAGTCCCGCTGGTGCATCTCGTGTAAAATTTACAGCAACCCATTTGTTCCCTCAAATTCAGTGACATCTTGCCACATTAATGACTGCTCTCAAAGGGATATAGAAATAACTGTGTGACTTTGATGTTTGAATGAATGCTCCGATGTCAGTGCCAATTTGTTCTTGTTTTCCCATCGTTTAAGTTTCCGATGGACCAAGGATGGAGAGGAGTTCAACCCAGGAAATGACCCGGAGCTTAAAGCTACTGAGAAGTTAGGCTCATTTGCATTCTACACACTCAGTAATACAATGGACTCCCTGAGGCTCTACCAAGGCAAATATGTCTGCTACGCATCCAACGATTTGGGGACAGCTGTATCTAACGAAGCTACTGTTAGCATTGATGGTGAGAGTACACTGATGACTTATAAAACTCCCAATGTGCAGTAGTTTGAAAGTGTTTAATTTTGAAAATGGTCAATACATTTAACAATAACTATTATATTTGCTTATGTGAAATTATGTGGGATAAGCCATAGGAAAAGATCAATCTCTCATCTGTGGAATCACATTATCTTGAATGTCAGAATCAGCATTATTACTTATCTAAATGCCTCCAAGGTTCAGACGAGAAAGGAAAAGTGTTATTGTGGATATTTGTATTGAATTTAAAAGCTGTTGGCTACACAGGCAGTAAACCTTTGACTACTTAAAGAATGTGTATGTTTCCTTATTTATCCTTATGTATATCTGTTATCTGTAGCATAATTACTTGCAATAACATGGCTAAACATGCAAACACACACACGCCCTTGAGCAAAAGTAAAGAACACCTCCATAACCATCCACCTGTGTGACTGGCTCTCTCCTGGGCGACCTCCTTCCCTCACAGTTTCCCTGACAACGGTTTCCCCAGAAACACTCTTGAGCTGATGTCATGTGAAGCACACTTCAGTGGCTCCTGTGGGGTTAACAAGAATGGGCAGGCAGGTGGGAGGAGGGGGGCATCTGTGTTCCAACTATCCACATATGACTATAAAATCCGATCATTTGACATCTGTAAGATAATAGAAAGCAAACCCTCTTCTTTGCAGTTCCTGCTGTTGAAATGTATAAAAAAATCCTCATTCTCTGCGTTGTCTTTTCAAGGCGACACGTGATGAGGATAGCCTCAGGAAATCTTTCCATGTGTTTTTCTTTATTTATCACCTGTTTCCTTACAGACTTACAACTGTGTATATGCTCTTTCCTCCCCCCTCTAGTCCTCCCGACACAGCAGAAAGAAAAAAAAGTTGATGTGAAGGCTGAAGAGGGAAACAGTATGGTTCTCAAGTGTAACCCTCCACAGAGCTCCATGGAGCCCATCATTCACTGGATGGACTGGAGTGAGTACACTACGTTTCCATCTCAGCCTCTATTAAATGGCCCCTGTCTCCTTCATAAAAATTGTTATTAGGCTGTATGCATTCCCTTTGTTTTCCATGTTTCCATAAGAGGAAAAACAAATGCATTAGTTTCTCAGAGAGTATTTTCAAAATTGCCTATTTTTTCACGGAAAAGTCACAGATGTATTTTACAGTTTAGGAACCAATCTGCTCCCCCTTGTCTGTTTATTCTCTAGAATCATTTGACTTTTTCTTCCGTCTTAAGAGCTGAAATATTGAGCAGTTGGATGTCTTTTTAGCTTATTTCATAAACCAGTAAATTGATATCCAGCTGCTTTTAAAAAAAATGTTTTTCCTTAATACAGCATACGCAATTGATTTTTCTGACCAATCCTCTTCTTTTCATCAGCGTTACACCACATTGAGCTTAGTAAACGTGTGGTGGTAGGGAAGGATGGCAACCTGTACTTCGCTCATTTAACCTCAGAAGACAGCAGGAATGACTACACCTGCAATGTCCAGTACCTGTTAACACGCACCATTCTGACAAAAGAGGCCATCTCTCTGAAAGTCAACCCCTGTGAGTTTTGTTCTCAACTGCTTTAAAACACATTTATTTAAATCTATTCAAGTGTGACATGTATATATGTTGTTTCCATGTCAAACTAGTGATCTCCCAGCCATGGGAGAAACAAAATATGACAGATGATTGAGATTTTTCCTAAAAATAGCATTGTTAGTCATATTTGATGTATAATTTTATATTAAGTCATATTCTCTTAGTTATTCTTTATCCCAATGTTAAATCACAACAAATCATTACAAATAACATTCCTAGTTAATTACAGGCCTTGGTCAGATTACAGTCATCAAAGTAGTTTTTGCTTTTATTTTCAGATTTCTACCTTTTCCGCACCTTAAAGATTTGCAAGTGGAATTTTGACCGAAGTGCTTAAAGAAATTAATCAGAAAAGACTGAATCAAGAGACTGAAATAAATGTATCAAAATCTTTTTAAATCTGTAAAAAGGGTTTGAAAACATATATCTTATATATGTGCCAGTTTTCTCTAGTTTTGTAGTGCTGTGTTGTATCAACTGCACTGTATGTGCTAGTTTTGATGTTAAAGAGCCCTATGTTGAATTGGCATGCGTAGTGTGGTTTTCACTAAGATATTCAGAGACCCTGGAGTTAAAAAGTCAGCTTACCACCATGTGGTGGCATGTTGTGCTGACTAAGGCAGGGATTGTATCCGGTGGGTGTCTCTTGGCCAGCAAGGGGTGTATCACCTTCTCAGCCCAGTTGTAATGAGAAGCAGTTCACACAGAGCTGGCTGCCAGCATCTGTACTCCGGCGAGAGGTCAGAGAGATGAGCACGCGTTACATGAGAGTGGAGAATGTAAGGCTGTCCGGTTTGCCATGGGGGTAAAATTGTCCCTACGTGATGCCACACCTTGCATCAGGATTGCATGTGTCAGCGTGGCTGCTGTGTCAGCAGCACAGCGATCTGAAAATCATCCATATGCATGAGTCTTTCTCTTGATCTATGCATTTCCCCCTCTCTTTGTCCAGCCAATTCAGTACTGCGTAACCGGAGACCACACATGATGACACCTTCTGGACTCAGCACCGTGTACCACGCCCTTAGAGGCCAAACAGTAGAGCTTGAGTGCATCGCACAAGGCCTGTGAGTATTTAGGCATGTTGTGTGCATACATGTGTGCCTCTGCCTTCATAATTCTGACATGCAGAACGGCTCTTCGAAATCAATTGCTCCTGCCTTTCAACCCCCCCACAAACATCACTTCATTTGCTGCCATCTCTCCTGCCTTCTGCCATCTCCCTTTAACATATTCCTCGCTGTCTTCATCATATCTTTTTCTCCTCCAGTCTGTTACGGTTACTCATCTGCATACATATGCTCTAAGATGTCCTGCAATACATATGACTGTCTGAACTCTCTCCCTCCTCAGTCCAACTCCTGACATGAAGTGGTTTAGGAAGGACGGTGAGCTGTCTGAGTCTCGGACAGTGAAAGATATGTTTGGTCGCCGCCTGCGCTTCACAAATATCTCAGAAAGTGATGGGGGCGAGTACCAGTGTATAGCTGAGAACACCCAAGGGACGGCCATTCACACTTACATGCTGACCGTAGAAGGTGTGTCTGGCTCTCACTCTGCCACCCATGAACACACAAACACAGATAGAGAAAATCATGAACAATGATGAACAATCACAAATGTTATTGTTATTCAATAATTCAATTTAATCAACTTTTTTAAACTGATTTGCAGATCACCGCATTCTCTTTTTATTTATATTTCATGTTTTATGGAGGAGTTGTAGATCATAATCTATTGTTTAAATGTTAGGTGTCACCAGTTGATGCAGTAAAACCTAATAAAACTGTGATATTTTACTAGTATATGTGTATGCCATATTCTGTTCATTGCAGCTGCCCCGTATTGGATCAAGGAACCAGTCAGTGAGTTATATGCTCCAGGTGAAACTGTCAGACTAGACTGTCAGGCAGGGGGCATACCCACTCCCACCTCCACCTGGACCATCAATGGGATCCCCCTCTCAAGTGAGACACAAATCCACCTGGATATACTTTTACCACGCATCTCTTGGAGAAATAGATGAACTGACATCATATAACCTTTCAACAGAGACGGATAAGGATCCACGGCGCACTGTGACAGCAAGTGGATCTTTGATTCTAGAAGATGTCAACTTTGGAGACACTGCCATCTACCAGTGCCGGGCTTCTAACAAACATGGAACCATTCTGACCAACACCAATGTCTATGTCATTGGTGAGTGTTAGCTGTCTATATGCAGATTAACTAAACAACTCCCCAGTGTTTGCACATTCCAGCTTACCGTGAATGCGTGTGTTGTTTCAGAGCTACCTCCCCAGATCCTTACTGAGGACAGGAAATTGTACTCACATGCAGAAGGCCAGAAGGCTTTACTTGAGTGTGAGACCTTCGGCTCTCCAAAACCTAAAGTCATTTGGTAAGGCAGATTAATGTGGCGGTCTTTTATATCTTACTTCACAAAGCCGATGTTGTTGCATGAGTAGTTTTTGCATAAATTAACAACCAAACATCCAAAAAGGCTTTATTTTTCTGCTCAATAGATGATGAAATATCTAAAATGGTTCTTTCAAAATTGAAAAGCATGATTTTTTTGCTCTTCTTTGCCAAGTTTCTGATGTGTGTGTTTTTCTAGGGAGAGAGTGACCTCCTCTGTTCTGGCTGATCCCAGAATCAACCTGCTCACCAGTGGAGGGCTTGAGATCTCCAACATCACCCACGAAGACAAGGGCATCTACACCTGCTCAGTGCAGAACGGCAACCTATCAATCATTGCTGAGCTGGAGGTCTTCAGTGAGTGAGACACACGTGTGCAGCTGCATAAGCCGAGTCCCCAAGCAACTTATGTTATTTGCACCTTTTGAAGCTCATCTCAGCTCTGTGTTTCCTTACTTTCCACTCCAGACAAGACGGTGATCGTGTCACCACCACAGAATCTGAAGGTGCAGCCTGGAAACATCGCAATATTTTCATGCGTGGCCCTCATTGATCCCAGTCTCAGCTCTCCAGTTATTCAGTGGCGGAAGAACAATCAGAAGATTTTTGAATCCCACAGCGATGAAAAGTGAGACTGACACTCAGTGTGATGATGCATTTTTAAAAAACTTACACACAAAACATTTCTTTTACACCACTTTTCAAAGGCCATGCATACTGTCCTCTAATGTGGTGACAAGAGCATGAAGGAGTCTTACTAGATGATGAGGAAAACCAGATGATACTGGCACGCAATGATCGTAATAGAAGGGAGGAGGATAATGATAATAATCACTATGTATTTTTCTCAGATACACATTTGAAGGACCGGATCTCATTATAGCTAATGTGGAGCAAGCTGATGAGGGTGTTTACACCTGTCAGATCATCACTACACTGGACATGACTGAAGCCAATGGCACTCTCACGTTATGTGGTAAGATTACTGTACTTCATGATCACAGAGCAGCAATGATCTCAGACTGAGTGCACTGCATGCATTTGAAAAGACAAAATTGTTTCATTTAGCCATAGAAGTTCTGTTTGTTGGCGTGTTGGGCAAACACAGATGCCATTCCACAATATTAATGAAAAGTGTGTTCTGCTCAGACCGTCCAGATCCTCCTGTAAACCTCCACATCTCTGATCAAAAGCGGCGAGAAGTTTCTCTCAGCTGGACGCCTGGAGATGACCACAACAGCATTATACAAGGTTTAGTGCACACAAAAACACACACACCAAGGCCCATTGAAACTCTCCAATGACACAATGTAATTTCCAGTCCCACATCCTGCATTATTAAAAGCCTTCTTTTTATCCATTGGAAAATAGAATACCAGCATCTGCCCTGCTCTGCCTTATTTTATCCTTTATTTTATTTTTAGAAAATAAAACTAATTTGTCACACGGAGATGCATTCATTTCTGGAAGACACTAGTTACATTATTTGTATCCCTTACTTACCCCAAATCTAACAATAGGTCAATAATTAAGCCCCAGATTAATAACATTTTTACAGTTTCAAAAATCCAACAGGAGCAGATTCTGCACTAAATTCTTAGCTGTTAATGACGTGGGACTGGGACATTGAGCCACATGACAGTTTACACTCTACCCGGCAAGTTCAGAGGATGTCCACATATTTTTTTCTTCCAATCTCTTTTGGTTCTTCTCCTGCCTTTCCCAATCACTCCTTATCTCTTTATTAATAGAATATGTGTTGGAGTTTGAAGACCAAGGCTCAAAAGAAAGAGGTTGGGAGGAGCTGAAGAGAGTAAGAGGGAATGAAGAGCGTGCAGTCGTCACACTGTGGCCCTACATGTCTTATCGTTTCCGGGTAATTGCCATCAATGACGTGGGGAAGAGTGATCCCAGCGAATCCTCTGAAATACACAACACAACTGCTACAGGTACAGCCCAACTTTTTATTGTGAGGAATTTCTGGTGTCACAGTCAGCCCCAGATTAAACCGCACTGTTCTGCTTATGATGCACAGCTCCAGACATGAACCCAGAAGATATCTGGAGTGAGTCGACAGATCCAGACACTCTGCTCATCACCTGGAAGGTAAAGCAAGCATCTGAGTGAACCGCTATTGGAAAGAGTCCATGAACATTTCTCAACTGTCTTGTGTTTTTCTTGTGTGCCATTAAAACCACTGCAGGAAATGGACCGACGTAACTTCAATGGACCTGACTTCCGGTACAAGGTGCAGTGGAGGCGAGCGGTGGGCAGTGGGCCGAAGTGGCACACCAGCAACACAACAGCCCCGCCATTCATTGTCAACGACGTTGGCAACTTCTCTGCCTTTGAAATCAAAGTTCAGGCGGTCAATGCGAAAGGCCACGGACCTGAGCCAGATCCTGTCATCGGCTACTCTGGGGAGGATGGTAAAAAAAATCAATAAAAAAAAAACTTTTAACCCACTTAACTAAACCGATTCTGGTCTAAACACTACACACTTCTGTCATAGTTAATGCTTCTAACCTCAATGTAATTGCATTTGATATACTTCCCAGCATAGTGCTCAGCATAAAAAATGACTCACCTCAACTAGAACCCTTAAAATAATTGAGTCTTAAATGCCAGATCTATTTTACAGGAAGAAACAAGTCATTCATCAAAGAAATTGTGTGAATATCTGAGCTTTTCTTTTATCATAAATTAGAAAGACTGCATCTGTGCAGCGGACACCAAAGTTTTGTCACAACAAAGTTTTTATATTTGTTTTATTCACAAAATCAGGCATGTTGTGTTATTTCTTAAAGTAGCGTACTATAAAGCCTCAGACAATATCAGACAGAGTTCTTTTGTGGTATAATCTTGATTTCCTTTTCTCCAAGTTCCACTCGAGGCTCCGATGGATGTGGGTGTCCTACTTATAAACAGTACAACAATCAAAGTGACATGGGCTGCCATAGACAAAGAAACGGTCAGAGGACACCTGCTGGGATACAAGGTGCTGCTCCTCTATCTGCTCTTTTAACAAATAACACATGTTTGGCTTTTACCTAAGGTGGTAGCTTATGCCATATCTTTTAACACATGTTTACATGAAGCCTTGAGAAATTAACCCTTGCCATGAATCAGTGGATAACACTGATTAGAAAAAAACACCCCAAGCCACTGATTTTGATCTTTTGATCATAAATCAGCATCCTGAACATACATTATTCTTCAAGAAAGCCAGTTTTGATGCCTTGGTTATATGTCTGGGTGTATAGATGCATCATAAATGCATTCCAAAAAAGCTAACCTGTAACTTTGTGTCTTCAGATATGCTTGATCAGAAAAGGCTCCAGGGGCCACCACCGGGGCCGAAGGTCCAGGGAGCCTGAAAGCCGTGTGGTGGAGGAGGCTGGGCCCAATGATGTGAAGAAGGTCATCAGTCACCTGAGACCGTACTCCCACTATATCCTGACTGTCTCTGTGTTTAACAATAAGGGAGAAGGACCTCTCTCAGAGGAGCTCTCCTTCAAGACTCATGAGGGAGGTGAGAAAAAGAGAGTGGGTGTGGAGGAGGGGTGAGAGTGATAGCAGAAATGAGGCACATGATATATAAAGCATCTGGAGAGGTTGAATAGCAGAAAGGGAAAAAACACCTGGAACATTCTAATGACTTACATGGCACATAGAGTAGAGGAGAGATAAAACATCTGTTTTGATGGACTTTTTTGGTAGGCTGATGAATGTTTGATTAAAATAGTACCATTAATTTCCTTTTAAACTGGACACATATTAACCTGATGTCTTTGTGTTGCTGTTAGTACCTGGCCCTCCCACATCTCTGATTCTGGACAGCCCATCAGAGACAGAAATGACTCTGCATTGGATGCCTCCTGCTCAGCCCAATGGAATTCTCATTGGATATCTGCTGCAATATCAACAGAGTGAGCATTGTATATATTTCACCCTTACTGCTAAACTCAAGGGAGTTTAACAGCTTTAAAAGAATCCTTGTTTAACCCATAACACTATGAAGATGTCACAACATCCTAATAATGTGCATCGGTTCTGTGATGTGAGGAGGATCCATGAGTGATTAAGAGTTCCTGTGTTCCTCTGCAAACAGTGACAGAGAGAGATGACAGTCCCATGCAGGTAGAGACAATCGATGACTCCGCAGTCAACCACCTCACCCTGAAGGGCCTGGATCGCAACAGCCATTACCGCTTCTACCTGAGGGGTCGCACAGCTGCCGGAGACGGAGAGCCTATCAAAATGACTGGTGCCACCACGCTGGATGGAGGTAAAATGAATCTTTTTTCACTGTTAGAATCATGACATTTGTAGGGAGAAGTACTAAATCATGAATCTATATTTTTTCCCGAATGAATTGCAGCGCCTCCTGCCAACATCAGCGTGTCTGTGGGGGAAACCTCAGTCAATATCAGCTGGGTGTCCAAGAAGAGACACAGGAATATTGAATTTGACATCAAATACTTCAACAAGGGTATGATATCCATACCGATATATGCAGAGTTCAAACTCTGATGCACTTACTAGTAATTAGTAATAACAAGAAAATAAACTAAGGCTCATTTTATGTGCGTGCAGGTGTTTCTGGATGGAAAAAGGTGAACTCCTCTCAGTCCTTCTACCAGCTCCAAGGACTGACTCCTGGAACTCATTACAGTCTACTCTTTACGTACAAGAACAAATCATTCTGGGAGACTGACATTAAGACAGAAGGAACAGGTAGCACTCTGCCTTCTTTCATTCTATTTTCTTTTGTCTCCTCCACCCTCTCCTCTGGGCTCACCATTTCTAAATATAAAGCCCAATCCTGCAGAGAGTGCCTTCCAGTTTTTTCTTTGTTTTCAAACCCTTTTTTAGAAGAGAGCTCAGTTATCCATGTGAATTCTTTCTTGTGAATGTTTGGTATGTTTTGTTGCTCTAGTTTGTTCCTTGAGAAATGCCACATTGTCAGAATGTGTGATGTTCTGTCATATGTGCTTTCAATACTTTTCCCATGTTATCCTGTGCACAATTTTTTCCTGATTCATTCTTATTCATCTTCCTACTTTCAGCTTGTTCACTGCAAGTAATCTTTATTTTTTGGCTTACTTTTTATTCCCCTTCCAAAGAGGTGACACAGGTGCAACCAAGCTTTGCAACACAGGGTTGGTTTATCGGTGTTGTGAGTGCCATCGTGCTGTTGTTGTTGATCCTGCTCATCCTCTGCTTCATCAAGAGGAGTAAAGGTGGAAAGTACTCAGGTAAGTGTACCAATGTTATGAGGGTCGGGCACTCATTATTAGAGATAGCAAACTGAAAAATATGTTGGTGATGACCATGGCCAGGAGTTTGCAGGCATTCTTATTGTCTGTCTTTCTTTATTTTCTTGTAATTTAGTTTTAGAAACCTTTCTGTAGGTAACATTGGCTTGTCACATCCAAAAGGCTGTCTTACACTGTGGCCAGAGCAAAAAGCAGCATAAATGGGATTAGTGATTGGGGTAAAAAAAAAAGGCTTTGACAACATTTTCTACGCATCTATAATCCTCATAGTGGTTCCACTTCACAATAATTGTCAGATTCAACTAAGCTTTCCTGCTCCATTTCAGCCCTTGCCCAATTTTAACCACACACACAAAATGAAATGGACTTCTAAGCTCGCATTTCATGCGTTCTTGCTGTGTTGGTAAGGAAGAGCTTCTGCCCTGAAATGAGTGATATGTGTTTGAAATTATAATCAAACAAGACAGGAGCGACTGCAGCCTTGCAGTGTCCCTCTGTTTGATAAAACAGAGAAGAACCCCAGACAATGTGTGCACTCCCAGGAAAGCCTGAATAAAAAAATCAATACAATCATACCTGCTACCACCATGCTTATGAAAAACCTATGAACAAATAGTTTTTGCTCCACATAGACTAACTTAATCTTATCTTGCCGTCTGACAACATGTCATTATTGATGTCTGAGACAGTGGCTTAGAGAGAAACCTGGTGAAGATTTCACTGATAATGAAATCCAATGATCTGTTTCGTTCTCAGTGAAAGATAAAGAGGAGGGCCCGATGGACTCAGAAGCCCGGCCAATGAAGGATGAAACCTTTGGAGAATACAGGTTTGTCAAAGTGATTTGACACTGCGTCTATTCAGAACAGTGATATGTCTAACACAACCCTTATTCCCTGCTCTACGTTTGGTTTTCCTAACCCCTTTTGTTCCTTTCCTTGTCCCATTTGTCCAATGCCTGCCCTTGAATTGCAGATCTCTAGAGAGGTATGCTGTGACAAGTTTCACCTACTTATTTGTTATTCCCTGCCAATGCCTTTCTTGCCAACTTAGTTTTTCTTTTTAATCCTTAAGCATGGAAACTTTTCAGATGATAATGTGGCCTCTTTCAGAATTTGTGAAAAAAATCTATCAGAACATCTGGAGAGCTTCATCAGAGTACATAGGTCCAGCCAATAGACTACGAATATTCAGCTTGTGACAACAATAAACATAAAATGTTTCACAGTTAACATTTCATACCCTGGAAACACTCATTTTCTTAAACTTGTGCTTGAAACAATGCTTAGAAAAACATACTAAACTGACTATTCATTAAATTCACAAATCATTGATATTCCATTTTTATGAATTTCCAGGTTGCATGTTTACCTTTTTATGACTGTGTTGATATGTGTCATTAGATCACACAGTTTTTTAATAACAGTGAAGCTCTTTTATACTTCTGCCTTTTCACTTTCGACCTCTGCTCTCACTTCTGAAGTGATCTTGAGGAGAAGCGGACAGCCAGCCAGCCTTCTTTGTGTGAGGCGAGCAAGCTGTGCAGCGAGGACAACCTGGACTTCAACGGGAGCAGTGTCATTACCACAGAGGTCAATTTAGATGGGTCTCTGGTCAGCGAGGGTCAAGAAGGTTTCCACGGCCTTCCGGATAACTCCCCACTCAACCCCACCATCATTTCCCCTTCCACTAACGGCATGCCTAATTCAGTCCCCATTCTCGATTAATTCCCCAACATCTCCATCTGGGACCATCAGACCAAAATATTTCAACTCTTATGTGCCCATATGCTCGTTTACCCTTTTGAGTTGCTGATCTGTATGTTGACATTCAATACCCAGTCATACACTGACTTTTCAGATGCTTCTGGCAGTCAACTGACTGATTGAACTATTTTAACCAAAGGAGTGTGCAAAAAAAGGGACCATATGACACAAGTCAGACTCCACCTTCCCATCTTCCTTTTATTGCAGAGTTTACAACATATATAAACGGCTAATATTTATTTCTACACATTCCATTTTTTCTCAGTCTCTCATCAAACAACCCAACAGATAATAGAGAGAACGCTGTAAATTTAAACAAATCAGGTGTTTTAGGTGTGGTCACATAAAGATGCAGAGTAGTGGATTAATTCAATCTTGAGGATGATAGTGATGGAGCCCAGTGTAGGGAAACAAACAGCACATGCTGCTGGAACAATTCTTACATACTAAATATTTAATATGTCTCACTTAATGTCTCATTTGTACCTGCCAGTGATATATTTTCCATTTATAAACTTTAACTTAACTCAAAACATCTCTTTTTTTATTTGACTTTTTTATTTAATATTGATTTACATTTCTTGAGTTTTATTTTTTACTTCATGTATATAAAGCCAACAATTTCTCTGGAACATATTTCATAAACATATTTTAATTTAAATCAAGTAAAGCCAAGTTTGAGTGGAACTTGTGGTGAAAATGCAGAGTAGCATCTGGTGTATATAGCTGCATCTACATCTATCTATTCAGCCATAATACAGTATTATAGATATGTACATGCTCCTCATAGGTTCCTGTGCCTGCTTGGTCTGCATAAAGCACCAGACTGACATCATTACAATCTCGCCTTCCCACTAAAAGTGTAATGTCGTTATTGGAAATGAAATTGTGACTTTCAGTTTTAAGATCAATGTGTAGCTTTCTGTATCTGTCCTTGTCTCTTTCTACACTGTATTAAAACATTGTTGTGTCTAATTATCAATTATTTCATAACCTTTCATCCCATACCACAAATCTGACTGAAAAGCAGTATTTATCAAAGATCAGAGAGTGGAGTCTTTTTGTCAAACACTCTCAAGTTTTATTTTTAGACCTTTATCAATGCAAGCTGCATTTTGTAGACGGGAGAAATTATTACCATGTCATGTATGATACACATGAAGGTAGACAGCTGGTATTTATATTAAAGAATGTATTGTTTTCAGGGGCGAGGTTGCATCTGGTTGTTTTCACTTGAGCAACGAGATTCTGAAGTAGTCGAGATGTTTAAGTTACCGAGAGAGGCTTTTTCCCCCTTTGAATGTAAATACACCTCTTAAAAAACATGTTTGATAGAAAAATGTGCAGGTTGAAAATCATCCAGCTTAATTTGAAAATGTTTCAACATGTGAGTTTTCTTCTTATGTACTATTGCTATGAATTCAAACTTTCCATTTTTGACAAATGATTGCAGTGACATTTGGGGGTAGAAAAAATAGTTATGAGTTGAGGAACAAAAACAACATTTAAAAAAAAGAAAAGAAAATGTCCACTTTGTTCATTAGATGTTCACAAACATAAAATAAAAAATGTAAAAAAAAATGTGTCATTAGTGAAAGTAGTATCACACTAAAGTTTGGATTCATGCACATGTCGTCCAGCTATGTGCTGCAGTGCAGTGAATATCTGTGGAAATTTTGCCTGATGCAGTTATGTGGGCAGGTTTGATGTGAGCCAGTCTGCTCGTCCTGTTCCAAAAAAAGCATGCTGTTTGCCAAACTTCACCTGGCTGGCCCTGAGGAAGTGAATGGGATGTCAAAAAAGGCGAGTGGCACTGAAGCAGCTCCTCGTGCTCGGTTTCACTAATGGGCTCAGGACAAATAACACTTGAAACAAAAAAAATCTATTTTCATACCGGAGCAATGACTGACATAAAATATGCTGATATTCTAACTCAACAATCTGCTGCTAAACATCTGTGTTTGTCGATGTTTGGGGCAAATGTTAGCTTTGGATGAGGACTGAGTGCATACACACAGATACTCACTGGTCTGCTACTCAATCTTTCATGTTTTGAGAGGAAATGTGGAGGGTGCTGGCCTTTGCTTTGTTGTTGCTGGGTTTTTCATAGTTAAAATACAAATAAAACATTTAAAAAGAAATTGGTTTGCTGACAATAAACTTCTCTGAAAGACCAACAGTTTAAAGAAGAACACTGGAGTCTAAGTGAGAGAAAAGGAGGAGTAAGGAGTGTGTCCAACTCTTTGGATGCATCATTAGCACTACAATAATGTCTGTGTTTGAAAGAAGTGGAGTGGACTTGCACCACAGATGAGCTAATATAACTGTAACTGCATTTTGAATCTACTACTGTACCTGGATATGACTGAAAAATAAAGTACCTGGACCAGTCTGTACAAAAATGGTCCTGTGTGTCAGTATCTACCATCAAATGTCACAAAAAAGAATCAATCATATTATTAATAATCAATCCACATTATATCAATGTACAATTAGTATATTTCATCCAAACATTACTGATAGAGAATGTCCTAATGGAATGAGGTGGTCAGCGGGTACTGGTGTTGAATTGTTTGAAGTAGTCTTTGGTGGGTTTGTTGGTGTATAGCTCCCTGTTCAGATACTCCCGACTAGGGAAGAAACAAACATTTACATGCAATACATAATCAAAACTTGACGAAATCAAATGTATCTAATAACTTAAAGCCTGATAGTGAGTGTGTTAGTGTATGTTTAGTGCTTACTGTGCGTGCTGCTCTCTGGCCAGCTGCAGGTTGTACTGGTCCATCTGAATTCTCTGTTCTCTCCGAAGCTCTGCTGCTTTCCTCGCCTCCTCCTCTACTTTCCTGGATAGCTTCAGAAGCTGGAAGTCCTCAGCTACACTCTGAATCTTTTCAGCATCAAGTTTTCTCTGCAGACAGAAAAAAATCAAGCTTTAACTGGGATATCTACTCATGAACACTGTTACTCTGAAGCAGGGATTCCCAGATCTAAATTGTTAGAATGATGACAAGCACTGGAGCCTATACCAACTGACAATGGGCGAGGGGCAGGTTACACCCGGGGCCGTCTATTGCAAGGCCACATACAGACAAACAACCACACACACTCACATTCACTCCTCGTAGCAATTTAGAGTTTCAGCTTTATTGTTGTTTTATATCTAATCTAATCTAATCTTTCATTATCTTTCAATTTAAATAATTTACAGCAATTCTGCAAAACAAAACCCCTGAAATTTTGGCTATAATATAATATCTGCATCTCTTGCTATTAACAATTTCCTTGTTGAGAGAGGCAGGAAGAATGGTCATACAACTAAGCCAGACAAACTATAGTTACAATCTATTTTCACTGTCATTACAGGTCTAAAAATGGGGCAAATATCATTTTCATCCAAATGTGTGTTCACAGCTCATTTCCTTGACGTCATTATGCACAGTCAGCTGCCTTGTTTATCTTTTTCCAATTAAATACAGATAAAAAGAATCAGAGATGGGAGCACAGATAATGTGGTGGAAATGTGAGCAAGAGTCTGTTATGATTTCTTATTAACCTAATAATACAAAAACAGATATAGTCCAAACCATGGCAAAGATGCACACATACATTTCAGATGGGCAGAATCCAGCATCAGCAACCAAAGGAGATGTTTAAAGTTGCTGCCTGAAATAGTTAAACAGCTTTAAACATTTCCTTTTGCCTTATGTGTGCATCCTAAGTGGAAAAGCAGACAATTGAAGAGCTAAAAACTAGTGGAAGAACTTAACAACACCTTAGAGAAATATGCAATATTTGCATGAACGGCCCATTAATTTATGTAAGTTGTGATTTTAGATTGCTTTTAATTAGCACCTGTTTCTCCATTCGCTGTTGTTCTTGCTCCCTCTGAATGGTCTGGAGCTGCTCAGGTGTCATCCCCTTCCACCTGTCGGGCAGAATCTGTGGAGGCCTCCCTTCTCCCACACCTATTTCTGCTGCGTCTGCAGACTCTGTCATCATGTCAGATGTCACTGTGTGCCACATCTCTGCAAGATTCTCCCTGTACTCTTTCAAGTGTTGCTCCTTAAGGTTTTCTGCTCGCTCTGCAGCCTGTGGGAACAACATATGGTGAGGCCATTCTGTTGATCTGAGGAAAGTTAATCGATTATTCCCTCAACAATCAAAACAACAGGAGCCCTACATAACTCGAAAATGTGATTACTTCTTGAATAAAGCCAAGAATCAGCCCTATGCTGCTTGTGCATCATTTATATAAGTGGTTATTAAGCAAGCCACAAAATTGTCATGAAATTTAACATGATCTGAAGGATTTACAATGTTCCTTGCAATGGGGGAAATAGACAAGTGCATTCAGACAAATGACTGAAAAGAAAAATGAGGGTATTTAAAGACATCCTGTTCCCATGCATACATCAAAACAGTTTAATCATCTATGTTATTCAACAATGATTGCTGCAAACTGTGTGTATGCATTACTTAACATTTTCAATTTTTGAACTCTAATTAAAGACTCCCATCTGAGAACACTGTCACAGCTCTAACCCCACTAGACTTTTTAGAGCTTTTACAGCACTGGGTGTAGCATTAGCATGTGTTTGTCCATCTGTGTGTGCACATGTGTGTTATGTACCAGAGCTTGGTTGTAGTTGTCCAGTGCTATGCGACCAACTTTCTTACTCTCCTCTTCTAGTGCCGCCTGCTGAATGCCCTGTAAGTCTTGATGCAGTAGGTCTTTGTTCACCATCATCTCTGTGGCACAATCAGAAATCATCTGGTGTGTGTTATTCACACGTGCACTGGTTATTACCCGTTGTAGAAAATTCCTCAATGACACACTTGGACATACATTATGGCTCTGGAGGATGAGCATCTATCAAAGTCACCTGGCAAACAGGACTTTGTGTGATTGCTTTTGTAGGAAAGCATGAACCATGTGTGTGATTTACACACATAAATACAGCTATAGTGCACATTGTGTCGGCTTATCTGCAATTATCATTTAGCTCTGTTCATGTGTGATTTCTTGTTTGAATCTGTTTACCTCTGTACTTGTCTCCCAATTGCTTTCGTTTATTTTCGTCTATCTGTGCTTGCAGGTCTCTTTTGGTCTTTTCTATTTGTTCTCTCCTCATTTCCTCCTCGCCGGTGCCTTCTCCCTGTACATGAAACAAGGGCATTGTGCTTCAGGGGTTACTCTATTATTTATGTACCCATTCATAGGATTTGTTTCACTATTCTTTGAAGCACACAATGCAGCCGCGTTACATTGTAAGCCTACCTGAAAGATTTGCATACTAGCTGGCCCCAGCTCTGCCTCAGGCATAGAGATCATGATTGCCCCCTTCAGGCCACACTTCAGACCATCTTCAGGATAGTCTTCCTCTTGCTGCTGAGTTTGCCAGTACTTGGTCAGGTCCTTGTGCAAATTTTCTCGCTTCTCTTTTTCATCAGTGTCTTGCTGCTGAAGTACTTCGTCTTGATATTTTCTGAGCATTTCTAAGTTGAATTAAACTACACTGTAAGCAACTTTTGAGGACGGTTTCAAATCAATATGAATTGTGTGTATATATAGGAAAAACTTACCAAAAGATTTGTCTCGTTGTTTTTCCATTTGCTGCTGGTGTTTCTTTACGTGGACTTGATAATCCAGAGCATCTTGGTCGAGGCCCATCACACGTAGCCGGGTGTTAAAAATGCGGGCCTTGCGAGCATTTTCTGCAGACCTTCGCCTCTCCACGGCCTTTTCTGTCGACTGGTCTAAAGGCAGGTCCACTTTATACATGTTCAGTTTCTACTCTGTTTTGGAAGAAAACGTTGTCCAACACTCATTTGTGGCTGGTGACCTTATCTTTAGACAATTTGCTCGTGTCAACAGATGATAAGGTCACATGCAAAAGTAATCTAATTACATAGAACGACCATATTATCAACTTAATGTAAATATAGAATTTTCCAATTATGTTTATTTACATTTTAAAACGCTGAGTGGCTACAATATAATGATACGTACCTGTAAAATAATTTCACAGAAACGTCCGTAGGCTACTTGCTGTTCAAATCATGTGGTGTTTGGATGCCCGTAGTAACCATGGCAACTTCCACACTCATGTCAAAATGTTAGAAATATTACAGACAAATTGTGCAAAGGTTATCGGATGTGAATAATATGAAAATAAAATTATCAATAGAGTTATCTTAAACTAGTTGAGAGGTAACTAACTAACGAGGTTCAGTAAATGATAAAAAGACAAAATGATCCCAATGTGGTCTCGCGAGACATTGTGAGTTTTCATGTCTCGCGCGCTCTCGAGGCTTCCTGCTAAACTGTAAAATGGCGCTTTGTTGTCACAACTATTCCGAGTCCATTTAATATATAGCGCTCGTTAGATTGTCCAATCAAACGTGCATGTAATAATGTAACGGAGGTATAAACCAGCAACGGACTGAACAAGAAGGTTCATTCATTTGTGTGCACATTTTATCTTCGAGATTGCTTGTGCACACAGAATTTTAGCATTTGCTAGCAAGCTAACGTTTTACTTAGCTGGTATTGTTCGTACAGTTTTTTTACAGGCAGCAGCACAAAAACGACGAAAATGGGTTATTTGAAACTCATAGAGATCGAAAACTTTAAGTCGTATAAAGGAAGACAGATCATTGGACCTTTTCACAAGTTCACTGCAATCATCGGACCTAATGGATCTGGTATGTTATGATAGCAAATAGCTAGCTTCAAAGCGTAATTCTTACTGTTACTTGAAGTGGCTAACGTTTAACATTTAGTTTTTACACAGCACGACATATGGCTTGTGCATGTTGAATAATTATCGATTATTTCCCAATAACATTTGTAATCGTTTATTTTTGCCGTGGTATAATTGATCAGTTTGTCGTGATTAGAAATTGTAGCTGTCAAAGTGCAGAATACTTGCAGTCATTCATCAGTATCTTTGATCTAATACATTGATGCAGTTATTTTAAAGTAACAGTTCACAAAGTTTATTATTTTAATTTCCTTCTAAATTATGCTTGCATAACTAAAAATTTCAACATTGTTTTCATAGGAAAATCCAACCTCATGGATGCCATCAGCTTTGTGTTGGCAGAAAAGACAAGTAACCTGCGTGTAAAGACGCTAAAGGATCTCATACATGGAGCTCCGGTTGGAAAACCAGCTGCCAATAGAGCTTTTGTCAGTATGGTCTACCAGGAAGATAATGGTGAAGAGCGGTCCTTCACAAGGGTCATAATTGGTAAGAAGCTTCACCAGTAACCATGGTACATTGTGCATATCAGTTCCTTATTGTTACAAGTTTTAGTGAAATTATTAATTATAAGTCAGATGTGTTACAGTTTGAGATATTCATACTTGATCAACCAACATTTGGGCTCGTTTCATCAGTCCTGCCTTTATCCCAGCTGTCAAAGTACACTTGTACAAACGAGTTTTTCACATATAGATTAGCTGGATTTCAGCAGGAAATTTAAACTGTGTTCCATTTAAGATTAAGTATGGTTATCATGTACATATAGGCTACATTTTCCCCCTTTTTTATGTGAATGCTTTCATCTTCTGATTTCCAAGAGAAGAACCTGTTGCACTACAAATGTAAATGTCGTCTTTTACAATTATTTTACAATTGTAACTCGCCCCTCAAATGCAGTTGTATTGCTACAATTTGGCGGAAAGTAACGGGCTCTGTCAAAATCCGGGTCAAGTTTGGTCATCCTAATTTATTTTGTCACAGAACATTTCACCCTGCAATATGTAAAATAACATTGAATTAACGCTGAAGTTGTTGGCATGTTTGTCAGGTTCCTCCTCTGAGTATCGCATCAACAATAAGGTGGTTGGCCTGCCTGAATATAGTGAAGAGCTGGAAAAACTTGGCATTCTTATTAAGGCCAGGAACTTCCTGGTTTTTCAGGTGAGAATAAATTCTGACTGTTGAAATTTTTTTACAATACTCCTCCACCGAATCACTATGGACCTGTGTTTGGCTGCCTTGCTCACCACATGTTGATTCTTCTGATCACATAAAGGGAGCTGTAGAGTCCATTGCCATGAAGAACCCCAAAGAGCGTACTGCACTGTTTGAGGAGATCTCACGTTCTGGAGAGCTGGCCCAGGAGTATGATCGAAGAAAGAAAGAGATGGTGAAAGCAGAGGAAGACACACAGTTTAATTATCATCGCAAGAAAAACATTGCAGCAGAGCGCAAAGAAGCCAAGCAAGAGAAGGAGGAGGTATGTTCTTAGTGAGGAATCAAATGTGGCATCTCTGCAATGATGATTGCTGATTTCTTCCATACATTAGTTTCCTGTTTTGAAAAAAAGGCAATATTTGCTTAACTTCTTTCAACACATCTGGCAGATTTTATTCACATGTAAACACCTTTATTTGCTTCCAATTTTACTCAGTGCATCCTCAACAGAGAGTTTAAAACATGTTGAGACTTCCCTTGTTAAATGAAGATGGTCAATCAAAACAGTTAAAATGTTTACTCACATCTAAGAAGCACACCAAAATCCAACAATGATAGACTGTGCAAACAATTTATTTAGTTGAGTAAAGAGAACATCACCATGCAGAGCTGCATCATTTTCAGCTGAGTGAAGAAAATGAATATTAATTGTTATCAATCTGTTGACTTAATTATGGAGGGAATTTAAACTAATTAGAATTTGAGCTGACATTAAGACTCACCCAGCAGTTCTGATGGAGCAGCATATGTTTTAGCTTTAGGATGAATGTCTCACAGCGGCTGCTTTTTCTTAACAGGAAATAAAACATCTGTCCACAGCTGCACTATAAATCAATACATTCTGATAATGAAACTTCCTTCAGACTTTATGTTGCTCTAGAAAAAGTCACCTGAAATCACAATACTTATAATATATTTTGTCAGTCAATTTCAGTGTTACTTTTTGATCTGTTCTTCTGTCTAACTGTTTTCAAACTTGTGCTCCTATCAGGCTGAGCGTTACCAGCGTCTGAAGGACGAAGTAGCCAGGGCCAGTGTGCAGCTACAGCTCTTCAAGCTGTACCACAATGAGACCGAGATTGAGAAACTGAACAAAGAGCTGGGCCAGCGGAACAAGGAGATTGACAAGGACCGTAAAAAGATGGACCACGTGGAGGAGGAGCTGAAGGACAAGAAGAAAGAGCTGGGCAGGTTGATGAGGGAGCAGCAGACCATCGAGAAAGAAATCAAGTCAGTGTTTATTTCTTTACTGCCTTCTTGTTGCATTGTTTACATGCGTCCATAGATCCTGATCCATTGAGCACCTTGTGAATCGCTTTTCATTTAATTCTGCTCGCAGAGAGAAGGACTCTGAATTGAACCAAAAGAGGCCACAATACATCAAGGCCAAAGAGAACACCTCACATAAGATCAAGAAGCTTGAGGCAGCTCGAAAGTCCCTGCAGAATGCCCAGAAGATGTACAAGAAGCGTAAAGGAGACATGGATGAGCTGGATAAAGAGATGAAGGCAGTGGAACTGGCCAAGCAAGACTTTGAGGAAAGAATGGAGGAGGAAGCACAGAGCCAAGGCCAGGACCTCACTCTGGAGGAAAATCAGGTCTGAAACGATGGAGTTTACATTTTTGGCTTTGATAAGAAATTGAATAGATGTATTTTATATATTATCTGTCAAAGTGATTTCAAATAGATACACATTCTTTCCTTTTTTTCTTTTTTTTTGTTTTACAAAAATGTTGTATTGTGTCCCTCCAGCTTGTGAAATTATTTATAAAACCTCAATTCTTGGCTTTTCACCGTTCATTCTGGAATTTGTCATCGTGTCAGATTTGTTAGAATGTAATATTGAAATTTTGAATAACACTGCATGTCTCTCTTTAGGTTAAGCAATACCATCGTCTGAAGGAGGAGGCCAGTAAACGCGCTGCCACTCTGGCACAGGAGCTGGAGAAGTTCAACCGTGACCAGAAGGCCGATCAGGACCGTCTTGACTTGGAGGAGAGGAAGAAAGTTGAGACGGAGGTAAGGGAGAGAAAAGTTCATTGCGGAGCTAATTGATTTGTTCCTACTAAAAGTGACCATTTATTTGCTGTCTCTCCTCAGGCCAAAATCAAACAGAAGATCCGTGAAATTGAAGAAAACCAGAAACGTATTGAGAAATTGGAGGATTACATTACCACCAGCAGGTATGCTGTGAGCGGCATGTGACCCATGCTCATCGCTTTCTAAGGTTCCTCCACTATAAAGCTTCATGCTTGTGTCTTGTTAACTCTCAGGCAGTCACTCGATGAGCAAAAGCGCATGGAAGAGGAGCTGACGGAGGAGGTGGAGATGGCCAAGAGGAGGATTGATGAGATCAACATGGAGCTTAACCAGGTGATTTAAACATGGGCAAAGAGAGAGACTAGGTTCCACATGGTGAGCTTTGGTGTCTGAGTGTTCTCAGTTTGTTGTTGGAGGGAGCCTTTTTCTACCACCAGCCTCTTCTGAATTAGAAATACAACTAGATTGGTTTTGGTCCTTATGAAAATGTCTGCTGTTATTCACTCGATATGCTTTTCCTACAGGTCATGGAGCAGCTGGGCGATGCCAGAATCGACAGGCAAGAGAACAGTCGACAGCAGCGGAAGGCCGAGATCATGGAGAGTATCAAACGGCTCTATCCAGGCTCAGTGGTGAGACAATTCTTTCAGCAAAAAAGAACAGTAATCAAACCCTGACTGCTGCCCCTCCACTTTTTGGTTAAAAACAAAAGAACTTGAAAAACTGAAGCACCTTTTGTGCTCTGTTTTCAGTACGGCCGTCTGATCGACCTGTGCCAGCCCACTCAAAAGAAGTATCAGATTGCAGTGACCAAAGTTTTGGGCAAGAACATGGACGCCATCATCGTTGACTCAGAGAAGACCGGCAGAGACTGTATTCAATACATCAAGGAGCAGAGAGGAGAGCCGGAGACCTTTCTTCCTCTCGACTACCTTGAGGTGAATATTAAACAGAGCGTAAATGGCTCTACTGAGGAATAATGAGAATGAACTTATTTGATATCATGTAAAAAAAAAAAAAAAAAAAGAAACTGATTCAACTTAAAAGATTTAACAAATCTTAAATCCGTTGGTCAGTTTGGTTAGATTATTTTTTGCTTTTGTCAAAGGTTAAACCAACAGATGAAAAACTGAGAGAACTGCGAGGGGCCAAGCTGGTCATCGATGTGATTCGCTACGAACCCCCACACATCAAGAAAGCCCTCCAGTATGCTTGTGGCAACGCTCTGGTTTGCGAGAATGTAGAGGATGCACGGAGAATCGCTTTCGGAGGGCCATACAGGCACAAGGTACTGAACCTCATTTGGGATGAGAAAAGTGAAATCTTGTGTGTCCCCCTGAGAATCTTGTGGAAATGAGGACTGTGCCGACTTTTCATTGTTTTACAGACGGTAGCCCTGGATGGTACTCTGTTCCAAAAGTCTGGAGTCATCTCTGGAGGAGCCAGCGACCTGAAAGCCAAGGCCAGACGCTGGGATGAGAAGGCGGTGGACAAGCTAAAGGAGAAAAAGGAAAAACTTACCGAAGAGCTCAAGGTAACTTTTTTCTGTTGCTTACAGCAAGGAGACAGCGCATTTATCCCTCACAGAATTGATCTAACCCTGGAGCTTCTAAACAATTTCCCCCAATTCGTCTTTTTTTTTCCTTTGTAGGAGCAAATGAAAGCGAAGAGGAAGGAGGCGGAGCTTCGTCAGGTGCAGTCTCAGGCCCACGGTCTGCAGATGAGACTGAAGTACTCACAGAGTGACCTGGAGCAGACCAAGACCCGACACCTGTCCCTCAACATGCAGGTGGGCCCCCAAGCTGCTGGTCGGGTTTTGTCTCTTACCATTCGCAAAACACGGCCGCTTCATCACAGGCTGTTTCATTTGTGTTGTTCAGGAAAAGTCCAAACTAGAGAGTGAGCTCGCAAACTTTGGCCCACGCATAAACGACATCAAGAGGATCATCCAATCCCGCGAGCGGGAAATCACCGACCTCCGCGACCGCATGAACTTGGTGAGGCTCACTCCGGGCAAGAGCCATGTAGAGCGCAGGGTCTGGACATGGAACCACAGTGACATGTTTTTTTTCCCTCTTCCAGGTGGAGGATGAGGTGTTTGTGGAGTTCTGTAAGGAGATCGGAGTGAGGAACATCAGAGAATTTGAGGAGGAGAAAGTGAAGAGGCAGAATGAGATCGCCAAGAAGCGGTCAGTTCAGTGTTTCCTCGAGGTGAAACTCAGTTTTTCTGTGTCATCTAACCTAATTCCATTCTGCTTCAGTCTTGAATTTGAGACCCAGAAGACCCGCCTGGGTATCCAGCTGGACTATGAGAAGAACCAGCTGAAGGAGGATCAGGAAAAGGTCATGATGTGGGAGCAGACTGTGAAGAAGGATGAGGCTGAAATAGAGCGACTCAAGAAGGTAAAAAGACAAAGTGAAAGTTAAAACCTATTTCACGTCAGTTCTGAGGTCAAAGTCAATCTGCCATGTCCTTTGCAGGAGGAGCACAGACACATGAAAATCATTGACGAGACGATGGCCCAGCTGCAGGATCTGAAGAACCAGCACCTCACAAAGAAATCTGAAGTCAATGATAAAAATCACGAAATGGAGGAGATCCGCAAAAAGCTGGGGGGAGCCAACAAGTCAGTGTCTGCAGGAGCATACGAACAAATCAGCGCTTAACGCGGGCGGCCATGTAGTTTTTTTCCTCTCTAAACTTCAGTTTTTGATTTGTTTTCCCAGAGAGCTGACCCAGCTCCAGAAGGAGGTGACTGCTATCGAGACCAAACTGGAGCAGAAGCGCAGCGACCGGCACAACCTGCTTCAGGCCTGCAAGATGCAGGACATCAGGCTACCACTGCGCTCTGGAACAATGGATGACATCAGCCAGGGAGAGGTTTGCAAATACAGCCATGAACGTGATCATTTATCCAGGCTGAAACAAACACAAAAGGAAAAAATATACCTTCTTTTCTTTTGATTTTGTTTTTAGGGGAGCTCTCAAACTGAGGAATCCAGCAGCCAGAGGACCTCCAGCAGTGTTCTGGCTAAAGAAGCCCTCATAGAGATCGATTACAGCAGCCTGTCAGAAGACCTGAAGGTAGGTGGTCTGAACAATAAAAGAGCTTGAATTTGAGTAGAATTTAGAAAAGTTTTTTTTGAGTGGTAGAAATGTTGATTAGCCACCGACTGCTCTCAGACAACAATGCATCCGTATTGTAACAAGAGCTCACAAATATATATGGAAATGATTAAACTCTTTGACTTCTGACAGGACGCGCTGTCAGAGGAAGAGATCAAGGCAGAGACCAACACACTGCAGCAGCGTCTGAACGAGCAGGGGAGCATCCTGCAGAGGATCAGCGCGCCCAACATGAAGGCCATGGAGAAGCTTGAGAGTGTTCGGGACAAGTTCCAGGAGACCAGCGACGGTACGCTGCCGGACTCACGGTTGTGTGGCGGCTGGGGGGGGGAGGGGACCACATGGGTGTTAACTTAGTATGTTTGCATTTGTCTTTACTTTAGAGTTTGAGGCAGCGCGTAAGAGAGCCAAAAAGGCCAAACAAGCATTTGAGCAAATTAAGAAGGAGAGATTCGATCGCTTCAATACCTGTTTTGACTCCGTGGCCACCAACATCGATGAGATCTACAAAGCCCTGTCACGCAACAGCAGTGCTCAGGTGTGTTTGGAACTAATGACAATTTGTCCCTCCGTATACACAACAAGCTAAGCTCTTTCTGAATCTTTCTTCTTCAGGCCTTTTTGGGCCCAGAAAACCCAGAGGAACCATACTTGGATGGTATCAACTACAATTGTGTGGCCCCAGGGAAGAGATTCAGACCAATGGATAACCTGTCCGGAGGGGAGAAGACTGTAGCAGCCCTGGCTTTGCTGTTTGCTATACACAGGTAAAACAGCGTTTTACTTGCTAATAATTCGGTAATGACTTCTGGACCTCTAAAACATGTCTAAGCTCATCTGTTTTGACTCCATGTAGCTACAAACCTGCTCCCTTCTTCGTCCTGGATGAGATCGACGCGGCCCTGGACAACACTAACATTGGCAAGGTCTGTACAGACTTCTGACTCGGCGTCTCATGGTTCTCTTTTAGTGCGGAGTGTTTTATTCATCCTGGTTGACTGGATTTTTCATTCTCTTTGTCTCCTGAAGGTGGCAAATTACATCAAAGACCAGTCAGTGCATGAATTCCAGGCCATTGTCATTTCTCTAAAGGAGGAGTTCTACACCAAGGCTGACTCCCTCATTGGAGTTTATCCAGAGGTTTGTTTTTCTCTTTTTATGGAATAAAATGAAGCTCTCTGTCTCCAGTTGCAATTTTACTATAAAGCTACAAATGTATCAAGCTAAGAGATGTCCGTAAAGCATAATCTGTGTCACATATAGTCTTAAGTTAGAAATACCTTCCAACATGTGTCCAGACCTTTGATGGGCACTTCATTTACATACATATATTTCTCATAACACAAGAATGTGGGACACACCCTTCAGACAAAGTAAAAGAATCCTGGAAGGTTTAGGATTTGTTTTGCATGAAAACTTTCAAGATCCTGAGGATATTTTCCAATAATCATGTAAATGGGACTACAGATTTGTATTCTCTTCTTCCACAGCAAGGAGATTGTGTAATCAGCAAAGTCCTCACCTTTGACCTGTCGCAGTATCCTGATGCCAACCCAAATCCAAATGAATGAGGTGACTCCTGATCAGGACTTTGGCAAGTTGGATGTTTCATGTAGTCACAGATATATATTAGGCCTCCCATCTTTATTTCATGTTTTTTATATTATGTTGTTTTTTTTTTGTTTTTTTTTGTTTTTTTTGGATATGCTAGAGTAGTAGATTAGCTTTGTTTTGTGGGAAGGGTTGTTCTTTGTAGACTCAAACAACCCAAGATGTATACATTTGTATGAGGCAGCCTATTCTTAATTTGGCCACTATATTAAGGAATCAAAATTAATCCTGCTCATGTTAAAAGATAGGGGGATCACACCTTTTTTAACAAACCGACTTGTATCATGTGGTAAAAATGAGGATTATTCCTGCGTAAAGTTGTTTTGAGACTTTTTATACTGTCACGGCCCTCTTCAGTTGTGTGCTGTAAAGCCCTCGCCCCTCCTTGTTGAGTGTACTTAAATATGTATTTGCATTTCGTATGTGCTATTTTTAAAAAATCTTAATCATGGAAACGTTACAGTGTGAAGGACACATTCCCTTGTGTTGTACCTGAATAAAGCCCATAACTGTCTGTAGCAGGCAGAGCTGGAACAAGATCATGCAGCTCAGTGAAAACTGTCCAAATAAAATCATTTTTAAGAAAATCTGAAGAGGTCCTTAGATTTGTGTGGATTCCATCATTCCTTTTACTCTTGAGTAATTTACTGAATGAGCTTTAGGAAAACAGAAACTCAGCACTAGCGATACAATTCTGTCTGGTTTGTTTTATTGATTGCTTTCTCTTCAATAAATACAGTTTAAATTATTTAAGGCCTCCGCTGTTTAAATGGACCTCAGTCGCTGTTCCAATTTGCATACATCTTGCTGTGTCGGCTTTAACTCCAAATGGGGAAATCTTTGCATTTCAAGGCAGCACTGTTAGTAATCTATGCAGTTTTCCATCCCATTCTAGTGGAGGAACACTCAGGCCTCTGGTCAGATTTCATTCACTCATTTCTAGCATCCTCACCAGTTTTCTGTTCCTCTTTCCTTGTCCAGATCCTGGTCATTGTACGATTCTCTCAGGGGTGAAAAAAAAAAAAAGCTAAACCAGACATGAACATATGGGATGTTTTATTTCTTTTGCCGCCTTTGCAGGCACAAAAGTAACATCAACCTTAATGGCACAGCTTCAGAATTGAACAAGAGTTGGGGTGTCAGATCTGCTCAAACCAGCAGAATCTCCTAAACTTTAAAACACGATATGTGACAGAAAAACACAGATCAGTGGACGATGTGAACAAAAAAAAAAAGCTGTCCGCTGTAAGGCCTGCCGGCTTCTCAGCCGGCAGGCCTTACAGCGGACTGTTAACTTTGAGATAAGTTAGTGTCTTTATTAGTTCATTCATTTGAACGGTGTTGCATCGTCAGATATGTTGTTTTCCTTGGTTAAGGTTCCACCACACTTGACAGTTGATTTAGTCTGTTATCAGGCCTGGAGTCAGGCTAACAGAAACACGTTGTCAAGGTGAAAACAGGCTTGGTAGTGCGTCATGAGGTGAGGCCACCTGCTTATGAGAAAACCCACTTTAACAATGTGAACTCAAGTAACGGCCTCTAAACTTCGGAGTCAGCCTCGTCTTGCTTCTTTTGTGGAGGAATTGGAATCGGACGCCTCTTTCTCCTAACAGCTGGATCCGGCTGGCCTGGTTTTAGTTCCATCGCAGATGGGGGAACTGGGACAGGGCGTTTCTTTTTGGCAGAAGGGCCGAGGCTTCCCTGGGCCACACTGTCCATTTCTGGGTGCGAGTTATCTGTCATCCCCTTTTTGGTTATAGACTCAAAGCCTGGGTCTTTGGCCTTGGAGATTACACCTCCCTTCACAAGAGCCTGTAGAGAAGCAAGCAGGGATCTTATGTGACGCTAACGCTAACATTTTCATTTGATATTTCAGGAACTCAAATGTCTTTGCTAAATCTCAGAACTACAGAATCTCAGATGCTGTAACACTCACATCCCGGCTGACCCGGTCAGCTGCAGTACGGGAGCTCAGACTCTCGCTGTCTCCAAGGTTAGGACAATAAGGGAACTGCATCAAAACACAAGTGTTCATTCATTAGATATATTCTCCGTTTATCGTCACATACACTGGATGAGTCACAATTATTACCTGTGTTTTATCTGTTCTCACAGTGAAGTTCCAGGAGCGTCTGAGGTCTGAAAAATGAGAAACAAGAGAAAAAACGATTAACGAAGAGAAATTGGTGCAGTTTTAGTGTGTTAGGTATTAAGATTCAGATTCTATTTGGGTTGGATTTGGTCATTCATTGAGTATTTTGTATAGATGTTGTTTTTTGTGTGCCAGTGTCTTGTGGCCATCATTCTCATTACCTGGATCTTCCTCATATGGATTGTAAAACTCCACTGGACTTCCTTCTCTGTCAAAGGCAAATCTGAAAGACAGCATGCCACTCATCACACACGATGCCCCTCTGAGCACATGTCATCAGCACACAGACATTGTGTGTGTGTGTGTGTGTGTTGGCTCCACTCACTCTGCAAAGGCATTGTTGTTAGTGTTGCTCTTAGGTGCAGTCGTGGGGAAAAATTCTGTGTTGGACACCAAGGCAGCGGTGTTTGGCGGAGACTCAGGCTGGCTCTCAGAGAACTGGAGGGGCCGCTGGTTGGTCATCTGGGGATGCTGAGCATTGGCTGGTTCAGCGGAGAAGGAGTCTACTCTGTTACCAAACAGACCATGTGAACGCTAGAAGAACCAAGATACATGTAGGGTTAGCGTTACAGCATCACATCAGTCATCACATAAGAGAAGTCACTGATCTGCAATAGACATAAAGCATAGAATGTTCCCTTTTTAACAACAACAAAAGTAAACAGTGGAACAGTGTGTGTCCACAGTCACTATAGCTCAATGAAGACAGGGCTTTGCACCTGATAAATGGCCTCCTCTGCCTCCTCCATTGCTCGGTCCATCTCTTCTTCATTATGTAGATCTCCTGAAATGGCCCTGTGCATCTCTGGAGCTGCTTCTTCGTCTATACTCCTCAGACCCGCCTGGAAAAGCATGGAAGAAGTACAGAAATAACGATTAAAGGCGCATAGTATTCAAATCTTTAGAAGGAAAATGAATGCCAATGCAAATATAGCTATATCAGTGGCTATATATGAATGATTTTTATAAATCTGTAAGGACTTTTATAATGAATGTGCAGCTGACCTGAATCTCTGGACCTGAGCCGCTCTTCTTAGTTGGCCGGTAGCCGTACAGCTCTTCTTGACGCTTCATGAACTTACGGAAATGGTCTTGGAGCAGGAAGGTAGAGTAGAATTTCCCCACAGTCACCTCATCATCTGTACGTCACAGAGGTGTCGGTTTAGACATTTTTGATTCCACGGTAAAACTGAACAGCAGTTTGTGTTATTCGTGTCCATTGACCAACCTCCTATAGGGGGAATGACCTGGTCCAGTAGTTTCATACTGGTGCGTTTCCAGATTTGCTTTATGATGGCTCTCAGCTCCTCGTTGGCCTGCTCAAAATTACCTGATGGGAATAATTCAAAACAATTTCCTTGAATTAACATAAAATCATATGGTTCAAGGAATTGTAAATATCTCTCGTTTTAATTGCATTTGTCGTCTTCTTTGTGCTCAACCTTCTGTTTTGATTTTGAGTGCAGTCCTGACCAGAGCAAACAGAGTGGCGTTAAAGGTGACTGTGCCATCGCTGTTGAGAGGCATGTTCATACCAACCAAGCGCTACCAACACAGGGAAAAGAGCAGAAAACGTGAATGTACTTGTGTACAATTTGTTTAAAGAAATGGTTATATGTGTTGTTATATTTGAAAAAAATGTGTCATCCATTGTGAGTGCTTTCTGGTTGTATTTACCTTGCACGCAGCGTGGTGTGGACAGAACTTGCCAAAACCAAGTGGGGGCTGGATACTTCGGAGCAATGTCACCACATCCAGATGTTTGATCCTCCCCCTGTCCGATAGCAGTCATTACAGCCCCCTATCATTTCAATGTCCCTACAGTTTAAATGCATGAATGTAAATATTATTTAATTGTGTTCAAGCTCACGTGGCTTCTGGATCATATTCAGCCCAGATTTTCTTAAATTCATCCAAATGGTGTGGACCAAGAAGAGACCAATCGCGTGTCAGGTAGTCAAAGTTGTCCATAATCACAGCTACAAATAGGTTTAGGATCTGGAAAAAAAAAGCATTCTCATTTCTTTGATACTTAAAGAAAGAAATACCCCTGCAGCTCATATATGACTGTTGAACATGAGGCTGTATCTCACCAAGAAGGCACAAAGACAGTAAAAGCTGAGGAAGTAGAAGACAGCAAAATTGGACCCGCAGGTGTACTCTTCTCCTGGCAGGAAGTCGGATTTGGGGTCACACTTCTTCCCGTACATTGAAGCCATCATGACCTCCTGCCAGGCCTCTCCAGTCGCACATCTGGATGGATCAGCACATAACGTGAAGTGAAATCAGGCTGCATCTTCTTCAACTGACATCAATGTGTTATCAACACATCAAATGCTGACCGGAATAACATTAGAACAGCCTGAGGGAATGTCTGGAAGTTGTTGTTCCGGTTGATTTGGGTGCCGTCCACTAAGGCTACCTTTCCAAAGATCTGAAAGTTGTTACAAGCCAAGTCAGATCATATTGGCAATTATCTGGAAAGGGTTTTGATAACATATTTACCATAATCATGACAATACACAGAGGTATACCTGCATCCCAATGACAGCGTAGATGAAAAATAGCATCACTATGAGCAGAGCTACATGTGGGAGAGCCTATGGAGGAAAAGAAAACATATTGGTCAGAAGCACAGTGGGCAAGGGAAGCAAAAATAATTGACAGCAACAGCAGGATGACTATGAAGACCTGGAAAGACTTGATGAAGGTCCACAGTAAGTTGCGGATGCCCTCTGAGCGATTGAGCAGTTTGACCAGACGCATCACACGAAAGAGCCGGAAGAACGTGATTGAAACTGAAGCATTTTCAGAGGACTGTGGACAGAAAGGAGTGAAACTTATTGAAAGAAGTAATACACGTATGACTTCATGTAAATGTTAAGAGATATTAGACTTACCGCAATTACTTGCAAAGGATTTGTCTCCTGCACAAAGAAAAAGTTGTAAGTGCATTTGCTGTCTTAGAAATATAAATGTCATAGATGGTAACTGGACACAAAAAATAGGTAATGATTGATCCATTTTTGTTTAACATAAGCTTTCATATTTGACATGCTAAATAGCTGCTACTTGTAACACATGCGAAATGAACAAAATACTCTGATTTTTCACCTTTAAAATTACAACCTCATCTTTGTAATCAATATTGAGACATATGACTTGTATGTATCAGTTATAAGACTGTGACACATTAAGACAATAGCAAACCTTCTGAGGCCTTTCTAACATTGACTTTGTAGGGCCCAACAGAAAGTAGGAGCATGACCGTCTCATCAGCAGGTTAAGTAACACACCATTCATTAGAGTCCATCTCTAGTTTAGCTGAGGACATAGTGTGGTGCTAGCACAGCAAGACCCATGCAGCAGTGCAGATATTTACAGCACAGCCATGGAGACAGTACAGTCCTCCACTGGAGGCCAGGGCAGTCTGTGGAGAGTAGACAGATGAGGTGTGAGGGTCAAGGTGACACAGGGATTGATGGGATACAAAAAAAGAAGAGGAGCTGGAACAATATGTAAACTAGGATTTAGATGGAGAAAGATGTGTTTGTGGATGATACAATGAGGCCAATGCAGTGCAACAACAGCTGAAAAAAAACATGACTTGCTAGAGAAAACAGAATGCGTGTGGCATAGAATAAGTGTACCTTGACTAATGATGTGCCCTCTAAAAGTGCTCACACTACACACAGGAGATATAAAATCCTTGAAAAAACATTGTTAGCAATAATAGTGACAGTAGCTATTTTTTTGTGATGGAAGTGGATCAGAAGCTGCTTAACACATCAAGGTGGGCCAAAGTGGAGGGTGAGGAGGACATGGGACAATCACATTACCAGCCTCGTCTTGTCAGTTAGTTCTCCTGCAACCAATCAGTTGTTGTACCACAATTCTAAGAATCTGGGTCAGACTATTGAATAAATACATCCTGTTATTACAAATCGTATCACGCTATTAGCTGTGAATGATTTATTTTTGAAAAAACACACGGGGACCACTACAGCTCCTGCAATGAGAATCTCAAATAACTGGAATTCTTTAGGCTTGAAGTTGAATATATACTTACATCGACTTCACTCAGGATGACATCAACAACACTGCCAATGACTATAATGAAGTCAAAGACGTTCCAGGGGTCTCCAAAGTAGCCCTGAACAAAGATGCACAGCACGATGACATGAGGGCACCGGTTGGATGAGTAACGTGAAGAAAAAAAAAGTGAGGCCTTACCTTTGCTTTGAAGGCCATGAGCTTGAGTATCATCTCCACTGTGAAGAGCACGGTGAAGATCAAGTTCAGAGTGTCCGACAGCTTGGTTACATGATCTGACTGGTTACAGTGCTGTTCAGAGCAGACAGAAAATCTGTTATACATAACGTGTTGCAATATCTTGAGTACCCACCAAAATTTTATGTGAATTTACTGATTAGTTTAAGGGTAAAGCTAATTGGTTCTACGGCCTATACAGCTAGAACAAAAAATGAACAACTGAATGAAAAAATTGTGCATTTTCGACTCCACCAATTCAAATGAATCTATTTCTTGCAAAGAGACAACATTTACAATTACAGAGTAATATTTTAGACCTTATTTAAAATGTTGATTTTATGTTGTAAATGTTGTAAACACTGTAACAAATAAGGAGCCCTGTGGCACTGAAAGACATTACATTACAATCTAAAGAACTGCATTATGGAGCACGATGCCATCCCAGTGATCTTAAGTTACAACACGACAGTGATTAACAAACCTGCATCCCAAGACACAAGGTGTTCAGCATGATTAAGAAGAACATCAGGTATTCAAAGTAGCAGGAGGTGACAATGTACCACACTCTGTACTGGTTGGGGTTTTTTGGGATGTAGCACCTCAAAGGGCGGGCTTTCAGAGCATACTGCACACACTGACGCTGAGGGGACAGACAGGGAATGTGCGTTTAAAAACTTAGGTAGTAGAAACGGTTTCATCCTGAGCTTCATCTCTGTACCTGGTTCTTGTCCAGCTCACAGTCCTTATACTCCTGCTCGCCCTGTTCCTGGAAGGTGACTATGACAAAGCCCACGAAGATGTTCATCATGAAGAAGGCTATGAGGATGATGTAGATGATGAAGAAGATGGACACGTCAACGTGGTTGTTGTAGACTGGACCCTTGTCTTCTTGGTCAGAATCTATAGCTCTATATAAGAGCCTGGAAACCAACAGAGGTCAAAGATCAGTGGTAGAGTAAAGATAATTTTTACAGGCTACACCCAGTTAAATTTCTCTGAAAATCATTTCCAACTAATATGATATGCTGACATAGAACCCAATCAGACTGACAGATAGACTCAAAATGCCTTCACAGCTTACTTTGGCCAGCCTTCAAAGGTGGAAACGGTGAACAAAGCCAGCATTCCATTGAGCACGTTGTCAAAGTTAAAGTCACTGTTGACCCATTCTCTGTTGGCCACCACTGTGTCCTGTAGGGAATTCTCAATGTGCTTGAGGAAGGATCCCCTAAGAGAATACACCATGAATGGTCACTCAAATAATTTTACCATTCAAATAAATAAAACCCATGATATGTGAAGGGTGTTTGCGTACTGGCAATCCTCTGCAGTCAGTTTGGTCGAGTCATTGCAGCTGTAGAATTTACCCTGAAAGATACACAAAAGATCCAGCACACAGGCGATAACATTTCTAACAGAGGCACAATTTGTTAAAAACAAACCAACAAAAAAAAGAATATTTACCTTAAAGAGTTGTACTCCAATGCAGGCAAACATGAAATTCAGAAGCATGGTGACCAGGACGATGTTACCAATTGTTTTTATGGCCACAAACACACACTGGACCACGTGCTGTAAATGAGGTAAGCAATGATGGGTCAGTACTGTGGAAAGGTGAAGGTTTCTGGAAACACTGCAAACTCTCACTACATTTGGGTACAAATATTAAGTAGGTTATTGGTAGGTATTGCTCATTTCAAATCAGTGTTTCTCATTCTGTTCAAGGCTACTGGCCTTGTGTCTGTTATGGGCAATAGAGTGATTTCTAAAAACCAAAATACATTTTCCAGAAATTTCAGACCAAAAACGTCAAATGATCAAATATTTCTCTTTTCTATAAATGTGTTTCTCCATTTCACCAACAGTCTTGTATCCTTTGGTTCCTTTTTGTGACCCATCAGCGAGAGCTTGGCTAACATCTTAAGTAGCACTGGAATAAACTACCTGATCACATCCAAAATGGCTACAAGTCACAACACTGCTGAAATAGAATGTTTTAATATGATCGTAATCTAACTATACCCCTTGGGTCCTTTAGTATTTTGGGCTTTCATTTCATGTCTAATTTTATGCTTCTGAAACGTGATGTATATCATGAATACAATTTTTCCTCTAGCATTAGCACATCGTAACTCATTTTTCGCAGCTGAAAAATGAGGGAACGTTAAAAATGTTTCCAGTACCTTTAATCCCTTAGCTCTGTTGATAGCTCGGAGAGGCCTAAGCACCCTCAGCACCCTGAGAATCTTCACCACAGAGATGGCACTGGATCTGCAAACAACACGTAACAAAGAGCAGTCATGAACTGTGTGAAGTAAAGTGAAAATGATAAATGGTGTAATCCAGTCCATGCATGACATTCAGTATGTAATGTGATGATTTACGAATAATAACCTACTCCATTCCCATGGACAGGAGTGAAACTGTGACCACGATCAAATCCAGGATATTGAAAGAGTTCCGACAGAAAGAGCCTTCGTGCATGAATGCTCCATACACTGTCATCTGCCAGAGAAAAATACTTCAGTTACACATAATACTATGGATTGAGAACATGCCTTGAATTGAGCCTTAAGTCAGTTTTATTTATATTTATTAAATGTTTTTTTTAAATCAATAATGATATTTCACGGTAAGGAAGCCTTCTTAGGCTTATACAAATAAACGAGAGCTTAAACAAGATGCACAGTTTTGGCAGCTCAGCCTACCTTAAGCACAATCTCAATAGTGAATACAGTTGTGAAAACTATGTCAGCATAGGCCAAAATCTGGAAAAAATGACAAAGTTACAGTTTACAGTTAGACTTGGCCTTCTTTAAATAAATAATGTATAGAATCTTGAGGTAGGTTAGGATATCACCTGGTTTCTGTAGGACTTTGGATCAATGGGGTCCTCAGCTGCCAGTGAGATGGAGGAGAGCAGGATGAACAGAAGGATCAAGTTGGTGAAGGATGAAGCGTTGATGATCTTGTAGCACAGCTTACGGAACCTGGACAGGTAGGAATATTTTGCACACACAAGCAAAAAAATACCTTTTCATTAACAGACTATTTATTACAGGTGTTTTTCAAATGTGTTTTATGCAGGAATCCTATTAGATTCATACTTGTTCTGGGGGCCAAAAATGTAAAAGGAGCTGGCTTCAGGCAAAGGAACTGCTTCCTCTTTCAGCTGCAGGTCCGCCATAGGTCGGGGCCGAGGGCTGATGGGAATTTCAGGCTCTTCCTCTTCATCATCACCTATGAGGCAGAAAAAACGATCAAAATCATGAAGTCCATATATTAATCTAATGATGATATCAAAGTCCTTTCCATATCTAATAATGTGGCAAGCTTAATAACAGCCACCAGAATGGTGCTGTAGCGTTTTCTATAAACAACTCAAAGAATCAGCTGAGTCTAGTTGTGATGATGGGTTACTATACTTGTACTGCAACATAGCCCAGATAGCAGCGCGGGTTAATGGCCAGTGTAAAGTAATACGGATTCTTGCCATTGGTGACCTCCTTTTTGACAAGTACATTACTGAGAAATGTTCGACTTCAAGGTGTACAACAAATAGATATTCAAATTCAGTTTTTTTTCTTACCTGGAAAATCTGCAGGTGGAAATGGATCTTTCACTTCATTGACATTGGACTCAAATTCATCAATTTTCAGCTGCAGGAAATGAAGATAAATGTGTTCTTAAGATACTTCTGCTCCATAGCATGTAATGCAACACCAAACACAACACAAACCTTGGCTGTGGTGGGCATGTTCTCCATCTTGGCCCTCTGCTCTGCCAGTTTCTTTGCTATCCTCTCCCTCTCCTCGTCGGTCTTCTCAGGCATTTTAGACCTGCAGGATAAAAAAGGAAAATAAATTATAATTTCAAATTAGCAATGTACAGAGAAATCACAAATTTTTAGCTTGTATGATGTTATTTTGTTTACCTTAACAGCTTTTTCCTCATCTTCTCCTCTGCTTTTTCTTTCTGAGCTGAAGTCAGACTCTCAGCCTCAGCCAGGTTGTCCACGGCAATAGCCAAGAAGACATTGAGGAGGATGTCTTGTATTGAGTTTAGGAAAATGAGAAAATAATTAAAAAAGAAACATCACATTTAATTTCAAGTTGATATTTGTAACTGATTGGAAGGATACAGTTTCCACAGACAAAAAGGATTATGAAGTAGATGGAAACTAGGATGCCAGGGATGACAGGCCCTCCATAGGCCATAATGCCATTGTACATGATAGAAGTCCAGTCCTCTCCAGTGAGGATCTGAGAAAAAGTTGTAGGTAGAATAATTAGTGTAATAATGATAGCAAAGCTAGGAGAGATCAAATTGCAGCTGTTTTTTTAAAAAACTGTTTTATGTTTAACGTTAGGTTACATTATCAGTGCACAACATTCATGGTCAACTTCTTCCTCACCTGAAATACACTAATCAGGGCCTGAGGGAAATTATCAAAGTTACTGCGTCTGAGCCGGTGGTCATCGAAGATAAATTTCCCTCCAAACACCTGCATTCCCAGGAGTGAGAAGATGACAATAAAGAGGAAAAGAAGGAGGAGCAGCGAGGCGATGGAGCGAACCGAATTTAAGAGGGAGGCCACAAGATTACTTAGAGATTTCCAGTATCTGAAAAACAGTTTGGAGACATTTAAAGTTGACAAGTTACACTGTATTTACAGGATAGCAACTATTGCAATATTATTAAGTGAGGTTATTCAACGTACTTGGTGACTTTAAGGATCCTCAGCAGCCTGATACACCTGAGCACAGAAAAGCCGAGGGGGGCCACGGCACCCGCTGACAACATGATCATCTCCAGGATGCCACATAGCACCACAAAGAAGTCGAAACGGTTAAACAGAGACATGAAGTATGCTCTTGGTCCCAGAGCATACATCTTCACGAAAATCTCAAAGACGAACAGCACCAGAAGAACACGGCTAGCTACATCTGTTGAGACAAAACGTAATAGACAGATGATTGAAACTGCAAGGGTGAAAGTTTGCATTAAAGAAAAGGTTTGATAGGAAAAAAATAAGTTAATCAGCAACCTTGCAGGGACGTTAGCCAGCCAGGCTGGTGGTGATACTCTGTGGCTAAGGTCAGCGTGTTGAGAAGGACGAGGAACATCACCAGCCAGTAAAAGGCCTTGGTTTTCACGTACACCAAGCACTTCATCCTGAAGAAACGGTTCCAGCGACGGGCCAGGCGGCTAAACAAAAACACCCACACCATATTGTTCCCAGTGGTCTTGGATGTTTTGTGCAAGCAATTATTGGCCAACATAACGGAGAGTGAGACTCACTAGTAGTAAACAACACGACTCTTGCCTTCCAGATCATACAGGCTGTCTGCGTCAGAATCTCCATTGGTCAAAGGCAGGAGACCTAACAAGATTAAAATTGTTAGCATTTTGTGTAATACGAAGGGGGGCTGGACTGATCTATTGAGCTTACCTTTGCCTTCTCTGTCAGCATCCAGGACTTCAGCATGAGTGATCCACTCCATGTAGCCATGAAGGTCTTCATCCATCTGCTGACGCTCTCGCAGCTTCTGGAACTCCCCTCTCGACCTGGCCTTCTCACGCTCTTTAGTAAACTCTCTGCATGGAATCAACATTTTTTTAAAAGGGTTCATCCAAAGCAAAATACATACAATGGAGTGTTTGGAGGAGCTAATAAGCTGTCTTACCCGCTGAGCACACCCAAAACAAGATTGAGCACGAAAAAGGACCCCACGAGAATGAGAGGAACAAAAAAGAGCCATGGCCACTCATTTCCTATAGCATCGTTCACCTGTTACACAATTTACAACAATCATACAATTAGACAAATAAAACTTGTCCTAAGGATGATTAGCGAAGTTCCAAAATCCACTTACCCAGTAGAGGACTTTGGTCCATCCCTCCATGGTGATACACTGGTACACAGTCAACATGGCAAAACCGATGTTATCAAAGTGGGTGATACCATTGTTGGGACCTTCCCAGCCAGGCCGACATTCTGAACCATTGATCATACAACGACGGCCATTACCGGCTTGGGCACATGGGGCAGGCATCTCACCTTCTGCTACTGCATAGATATCTGTGGGGGGAGAAAAAGAGACAAGTATAAACCCACTTGGCACAAAGGCTTGATTGCATCGATGTCTGATGGGGTTATTTGTATACACACTTGTGCCAGTGTAGTAGCAGGTCTTATGCATTTTGCATTTAAAGAGCTCCAGTCCCATAATGGCATATATAGTGACCAGTAAGAAGACCAGCAGGGCGATGTGTATCAGAGGCAGCATGGCTTTGAGGATGGAGTTCATCACTACCTGAAGGCCTGAAAGTGAACAATAACAAATAATTACTGGCCTGCGAATCTTGGCATTGTTTTTTGGTCAAGAAAAATGCAACAGTGCATGAAGCCTGTGCAATGTGGGTGGATTAATGTTCAGGTTCTTACTGGGGACTCCAGAAACGAGGCGAAGTGGTCTCAGTACTCTGAAGGCTCTCAGTGCCTTCATGTCGAACCCTCCACCCTTCTCTTTTGGCACTCCTCCTATCGTATTTATTGTATCCAAGGCAAAGGTGAAGAGACTGTAAGGGAGAATCAAAAGATCATAACTCTCCAACTCTGCAAAACTTTAACTTGTAAACAAATGAAGCATTGCAAAGCTGAGTTTTCCAACTCTTTAAAGTGGTGAAGCTGTTCTGCTTGCAGCAGAAGTGTCCTGCTGCTGCCCAGGGCTCATCTTACCCCATGAAGACGATGACAAAGTCCAATATGTTCCAACAGTTCCGTAAATAGGCCCCTTCATGGAACACGAGCCCATATGCTACAATCTTCAGAAAGCACTCTAAAGTGAAGATGATCATAAAGATATACTCCAGACTCTCCTGTGGGAAGCAGATCATGCAAATCACAGTTTAAGGTTGTACTTCCCCCTTAAAATTGGCTATATTTGAATATAAAACAAGTTATTTTTTCTTGATTCTATTTGTTTTTGTTTTTCCAAGGAGGTCCTGAAATACACTGGCATGTACAGCAACTTAAACCACTGGAGGTCAGTAAAGGCTTGACTTCATGAAGAGCAGAATACACCTGCTGATGCAGACTGCCCACTGGTGCCAAGCTGGGTTCAGTTTGCTCAGCAGATTTAGGCTACATTAGGTTACCCTCTCTAGGCTGTAGTGTGTCAATGCTACAGCCTCTCAGATTTGTGAAAACCATGAGTATGATTACATGAAGCAACTTTAGTGGACTCTTGTGACGCCATGTTGGCCGGCGTACCTCTGACCACAGCAGAAGGGTTATACATCTCTCCTTACATTTTTCACCTCCATGGAATGGCAATAAGAAGTGAGAAGGTTTTGAGAGAAGGCTGGTGAGTGAGCCAAAGCAAAGATGTGAAAGAAATGGGGTCAGATTAGTTCACCTGATCATTTTGGCTGTGATGCAACAATGCAACAAACGTGTATCAACAAGACTCACATAAGTTTCTACCTTGCAATATGTGGATCTAATGTATCGTGGTAGAGCAGGTGAAGGCTAATAATGCATGAATGCATGACTGTAGAGACTACAGTCAGATGCCAGCATTATTATTATCCCATACATGGACTTGGATCAAAGCTGTTACAGTCCATGTGTTCTCTTCTTTTGCATGTGTCGCCAGCTGTTTTATAGATGAAAGACCCTATATTTAATTTCAAGATAAGTATTTTTACACCAGTTGGAATTTTTGATATCTAATATCTAGTTCTGAAGCAGACAAAGCACCCACACGCGGTGGAAGAACGCCCACTGATTGGCTGTAGGTTGTGTTTTCTTGTCCTTGAGGGATTTATTGTGTAACATGAAAGATCAGATGGACCGTTTGACAGAAGCATCCACAAATTCTTAGTGTAAAACAGTTTGGCCAAAGGGAGGGAAAAATACTGAGGTATGAAGGTGGGGAAAAAATCAATGAAATGGTAATTCCCAGATAAAACCTGCCTGATAAAAACTTATTGGTCCTGATTTTTGTGTTTGAGCACAAAGCAGACATTAGGAAGTGGGGCTTATTGCGTCCACATGTCATAGGGGTTCAGATGTTTTTTTAAGGGAAATCTAATGGAATACATCCCCGACAAACAAAGGGTTTTGCCTTGCTAAGATCAATTAATACATTTTTATCAAGGAATTGTGGATTATCCATGAATATCTCTTAAACGTCAGTCTTGATTTTTTATGTCTTTATTATGTCCTCCTCTGCTTCCTTCGCCCTGTTTGGTTCAGCATGTAATAAAAAAGAAGCATGTCTTTGGCACAGTTTGATAACTGCACCACAGATTGCTCCAGATCAGCCTGAAACACTTCAGCTGTACAACGTACATTTGATCAATAATCTGATACATCTCTCACTGCTCCTTCTGATTGGTTTCGACACCATACCACCTCCTGAAAAGGATCCTAAAAGCTTTTTAATTGAATTTAGAAGAAAACACTGAAAACTGAGATTAGCCAGTAGATATTTTAACTAATTCCTCCTTCACATCAGCATTTACATTTAAAGAACTATGATGCGTTTTTAATCATGCTTGAAATACTGTTTTCTGTGTATCCAACCAATATTTTTTGTCTGTATTTTCTTTTATCTTCTAAAAGCATAATTTGTTGTTTTTATTCAATAACAAGAACAGCTGAGCTACTTTTTTGGTGTCAATAAAACTGAGCAGGATTTCTTATCTTCTGCACACTCTGAGCTGCACTGAAAACCTAAATTGTCGTTGAGCTGTGTCGTCTCTGACATGTAACACACTACCCACAGCCACCCAGCAGTGAAAACACACACCTATAGTGCTGAAATCCAATATATTTTGGAAATACATCAGCAGAAACCAGGAGTCAAACACCCGCCCCCAGCTTGTTTACGCTTCTCTGAAACTGGACCATGAATAACCCACTTGTCTTGAGTCAAAGGAGCTGTGAAACTGCTCACTACTTACAGTTTCAGAGAGAATACCAACCATTTAGTAAGTTCATGCTAATTCAGCTTCGAAATGTTACAAGCTATTTTAGAAACTATTCGTCCTGCAGGTGAAAATTTTGCTCACAACATATCCTATATTTTTATTTTTTGTTCTCAAATGTTTTTGTCTTTGCTCACATTTGAATCTTTCTCTTCTTTACAAAACACCGATCGGAATGATGAAGAGATCATCATAGCAGGATGAGTAAAGAGCCCAACTATTTGATAACTATTCCTCTGCTGCTTAGATAGGACTCCAAATTAAGAACTGAGTTGTGTGTGGAGTTATTTAAATGGAGCTTGGCGTCCAGAGCAGTGAGCAGCTGAAACCTTTACACATTAAGTATCAGACTTTACAGGCTTAAGGGTGAGCTGCGCTTTGCAGATTAATGCAGGTCTCTAAAATTTGCTGACCACTTTGCCAAATAAATCTAGATGAAAAAATATATTTCCTGGAGAATACATTCCCCATATCTTCTATACAGTTTCCACAAAGTGACGGGTAACACATCATTAGAGAGGGTTTGTGTTGAAACTTACCAAATTTGAGTTGGTGTTATTGCTGTCTTCTTCAGGCATGGGCAGGAACACAGCCAGAGCCACACAGTTAGCGAAGATGGTCAGGAGGATGATGATTTCAAAGGTTCTTGAAGGAAATATTCAGAATCGTAACAACGGGTGATGCAGAGACCCCAATTTATACCAGGCATACGCTTCTAAATCAGATTGGCAGTAATCCACAGTTACAGTGAGGGGGAAATACACAATGATTCAAAGATGGAAAATTAATTATCAGTGTCTTTCTGTTTGAGTGATTGGTTTCCTTTTTGCTTTTTATGACAGTGTGATAAATCAGCTTCGTAAGAACCATCAGTGACTTTAAATTCTGCCTGAAACTTCATCCTTAAAACGAGTTGCCCGCAAATCTGTGGCAGTTACTGTAATCCTGTCCCCTGTGCCGCCTCATTCTCGTCCACAGGGGGCTCTCTGAGAGAATTCCCCTGCCAAGTCAGCATCATGTCTCTCTGTGATGCCGTGGGACAGCTGCAGGGCCCCAGAATATGACAAACCATTTAGACACGTACGACTCATCAGGGAGCAAATGTCTGGTCACACTAAGAAGTTCGTTTATGTTGAAATCTGTTTTAAAGACTGTTTCTGGTATTAAAGTTTTTGGGAAATATTTTTGCCTGCCTCTCGGCACACAAACCCAATAGTGTCCAATCGCATTCCAAAGTGATTCAGCAGAAAACAACCTATGATCTGCCCAAACATGTGATTATAAAAGACGGTTGGACTAATATTAAAATCTGCCCACGGTGAAACTTCATATTAAGATATAATACACTACAACTGCTGTACAAATAAAACTGTCTACACAACATAAATGTGATTAAGTCATTCTATTCTGGATAGAACATATGTACCATCCAGAAATGGACATCAGACTAAAAGCAGGAAAGTCCCTGTAGGGTTCTGAACTCCACTCAGTAACAGACACGGCCTGTGTTCTGCTCACAAATTCTCATCCTGCGTTTAAATCACAGTTTCAGAATTTGAAACAAAAAAGTCAGACACAAAGATTATAAGCTACTTAAGACTGGTGTGAAATTTCATTCATTGTGTCGCTCTGCCAGATCGGAAAACCTATTCATGAATTTGCTCCGGGTGAAATTCAGAGAGGAACAGACATTAACACAATACAGGAACCTGACAGATGTCTTTACACTTCAGTCATCGCCTTATCACAGATTAGAGAGAGACTTGGCCTTAGCGTGCTCGCCACAGGTGAACAGCACAGCCGATAATTCACTGCCCCTTAGACATGACCTATGTGCATCCCGGCTGTCAACGTTTTTAACAAGAGCTCCACTCAACAACTGCAGAATACCTCCAGGTTATTACACACTGCATTTTTAATGCAGTGTGTAACAAGTGGTTAGTAACCACTTGTTAATAGCCACTTAGTGAAGCACTAACAAGTGGCCTTTAAAAACTAAATCTACACTCATGTAAACCACGAAGGATACTTCCACTCCACAATGTTGATGCAAGCCTTCCGGAAGGGGTTTTTGAGGGTGAAGATGAAGAGGGATCTGGCGGGGCGCGGGTTGCCTCCTGTGGCCTGCAGCTTCTTCAGCTTCTCCCTCTGCTTCCTCTTCAGTTCCTCCTCATTCATGATGACCGGCTTGGCTGCGTCTGCGTTGGTCGCCATCCTGATTCTTCCTCCTGACTCCAAAATCCCAATTCCAGACAAAACGTGACCTCTTGGTTTAAAATCCAAGATTTGGGTGTGGTATAACCCCTTTTTGTGGTGGCCTCCCGGGGTTCAGATCTGCTGATCTTGAGCGGGTTTCCCCGCCACCCTCGCTCTGCTCTTCCCCTCTTCCTCTGACTCCTGTCCTCCTCACGCAGAGCTACCGACCTCTCCTGCTGGCTGAGGGCCTCTGACGGAAAAAGCTCAGCTTGGTAGAGAAAAATAACTGGAGCCCAGAGTGGCTGGAGAAGCAGATGGCCCTGCTCAGGTTTAAAATTAGATTGTGAACCACCGGCAGCCCATGCTTGGGGAGGATCGAGATGACAGGGGGTGGAAGATGGAAGAAGGGGAAGGGCAGATTTGTTGGGGTGAAAGCAAAAAGAAAAACAGAAACATTACCAGCGGGAAGCTTCAGGGGGTCCAGCTGAAAGTTTTTCCTGCTGCCAGAATAAAGTACAGGAGCATTAACTGTAAACAGAACAAAATACAACTTGGATGGGAAGAGAAAACTTGATGTTTCTGATGACGGTATAGTTTGTGCATGAGAAATAAAGTCCTGCAAAAGCAAGACCCCATCAGTTTTAGCTCAGAACTTTTACATGTAGGACATGTTCCATTTCAGTCACATATGTAAATAACTAATGTACATGTATCTCTTCCATACACATTTGACATTGTCTTGCGATTCACCAAATTATGTTTTTAATTAAATAATTTCAGGACCCCAATATCTATGGAATTTGGGTCAGACAGAGTGAGTTAAAGTATTATGATGTATGACATATTAATAACAGAAAAATTTTCAAAAGCATCCAAGTTGTATTTTTAAACCCAGTTTAACAGGTAATATGCAAGGCATGAATTTATGCTCCTTATTTTGAAAAGAATATCACTGATACAAAACCAAAGGAATTTCATTTGTGTTATGTGTGATTTTGTGGCATAAATGGTTTGGAAAGTATTTGATATTTTTTCCACAAAGCTTAAAAAAGTAATCTCCTCCTGGTTGAGGGCCTTTGTCTTTTTTTAGACATTTTAATATTCCTCGTAGTTTAGTCAGTCAAAATGTTATGGGGACACTAAATTGGAAAAAAAGAAAATAACATGCCCCTCACAGAGAAATGCTAGCATATAGTTGCATAACACCTGCAAAAATTTGAAGGATTTTATCTTTTTTATTATTTCACATCAAAACATTGGAAGACAAATACAAAGAGGGCAAAAAATTAAATGAAAATCTATATTGACATTCTTTTTTGAGGTGTCTAACTTCTATTTGACACCAGGGCATCTCTAATGTGCCTTGGCATTCATTCATGTTTCCGAGCAGCATGGAACCGTCCCAAAAATATTTGTTCACTTTATGTTGCAATGATAGTCTTAAATCATCAAGAATATAAATATTTCCAAACAGTTAAACACAAGCTGAAGCTCTGCCATTTTGCCACTTTCATTTCAGTCTTTTACATCAAGCTGTGCTGAAGAACAAAGTGCACAAATGACTCATATATATACATGAGCAAAGCCCCTTTGTCCTGATAAAACCACTATTGCAAGATCAACGACTTCATTGGACAGTCATAAGCAAATTATCTGTACAACATACCATCTGTTAGGTTTTAAAACCTGTGACATGCCAGGATTTTAGGGACATATGTTGAGTTTGGTCAAACACATTTTCCACACACACAGAAGTGGTCGGAAAAATGCACAGGTTGAGGCTGAGAGTGACAACAGCTCGGACTCAACCATCAAAACCATTTAAGTATGTTCAAGTCTGATTCACCAGCTGTAAAATGAAAATGCGGAATGCTTGGCAAGGTAATAAGGAAATCAGCTCAATATAACCATTGAGAGTTCAGAACGAAGTTCAGAAGCCCTGCCGCTGCGGAAATTGCTTGATATTTACAAGGTTTGGAAAAAATTGTGAAAAGCTATTAATAGCCATTGACAAATGGCTAGCATATGTTTTCTTTTCTTTATACAGATATTCCAAAAGAGCTGCATTGCAGTTGCTGAGCATGATTAGGAGTACATTTCCTAACATGTGCACAAAACATGCAGTTTTTTCTTCCACGGCTGCGACTTAGCTTATGTTACAGGAAATAAATTAACTAGACATTCTGATGCCAAGCGCTCTAGGGTAAGTGCTTCAAAGGTTTTTCAGGGATAAAAATACTAACACAGGTGCACGTCGCTGGTGACAGTTTAAAGCTGAGCCCGGTGAGGTCTAACTCAGCATCTTGTGGCGGTCAAACACAGTCTTGCGCTGCTCCTGGACCTGTTTCTTCCAGCGCTGCTGGGCCCCCTCCACCCGCTCCAGCACCGTGTTTCCTCTGGCCTGCCCACTGTCTGCTTGTGGACGCATTTCCTGAACACACACATCAAACACCTGCCACATTCAAAATCCACTGCCTCACGTTCTCCCCAATGAGAGCGTTCAGTGGCCGTGCGCCGCCCGTTCGCAGATTTACCTCGGAGTCTTCCTCGTTGTGCAAGGGCTGAGTGTAGGGGTCGTGTTTGCGGATGAGGGGATCAACCAGGAGCAGGAACAGCATGTAGAGCAGCAGCGCCCCCACAACGGACAGGTAAATGATGATGGTTACCTGTGAGAGTTAGACATGGGAACAGAACTGAAAGCTGTGAAGCCAGAACCACCCTCCAATGACGTGACACCCTCCACCAAGCTCCAAAGTTTGTCCTCGGGAATTCAACTTTTATGCTTTTGTATTAGATGCTTGATTTGTTTGAGTGTGTACGTACATTTTCAAATTGGCAAACAAGACTGGACCAACTTTATGCTGCTTTGAAAGTCGACACTGAAAGATAACTTTGGCCAGAAAATAAGTCAGTGTTACCTTGATGGTGTTGCTGCTTCGCTCCTCGTACTTGCACTCACAAAGCAGACAGTAAGCTTCCACATCATGGCCAGGAACTGGCATGGGCTCCACTACATGGAGGCAGTTACTGTAAACATGGGAAATCAAGGGAAATCAGATGCTATGCGCAGGAGCAGAATAAATAAACAAAACAACTTAAGGCAAAAGGTTCTCTGTGGAAGAAGAGAGTCAGAGGTTCCACTCACCAATCTTTCTGTGTCACATTTTTGTTGTAGATGTGGCCCGTGATGTTTCTGTACGGTGGGCAGATGCACTTGCAGCGGACATCTTCAAAGTTCTGCAGCAGTGAGGAAAACTGGGTCAAAATGGCCCCGAGCTTATCCAGCTCCTGTCAGCATCGCTCAGCCCAGTATTAACCCCCACAACACCCACAACCTGGCTGGTTTTTGTTCTAACAGGGAAGCTTCCACAAAGGGCCAGCTCCACTGACCCTGGACCGTCTCTTTTTAAGGCCCAGGCTGCAGGGGGGCGCATCATGCTGCACTTTTAAACTGCACTGCTCCTTTTAAACAGATATGCCAATTCTGATTTAATTTACTTTGTGTGTGTGTTTTTTTTATTATATTGAAAACCAATCACCCACTCCACTATACCCCAACCACTCTTGCTAGATTTATTCTTGAATTTCTCATCTGAATATACAGAATAAACCATTCAGTTTTGTCAGCTATTAAAGAGGAAAAAAACACTGTTTAGGAACCATACATTTTTCGTTTGAAAGGATCCCATCATAGTGGAGGATCAACCATTTTAAAATAGAACACAATCATATAGAGGTGCCATTTTTCTCTGTTCTTTCTGAAATCTTATGCGTTTTCATGGCCCATATGCGGATGCTAGGTTGTTTACTGTGGCAGCAGCTGGTTTTTACCTTAGCCTGCGCAACGAGGACCACATCCAGCAGGAGCACGGTCACCACTGCGGTGGAAACGGGGATCCGGGATCCCTCCCTGCTGGTAAACCACATTTCACCTGCAGAATAACCACATGCACGGCTGCCACGGGCACTGCGGACAACCTGTCAAAGCACGGAGAGGAGGCGGGTTAGCAAAGGCACCAGCCAGAGAAGCGTCGTATCTGAGTGCGTCCTCAGATCCAAAACAGCTTCAGCGTTTACGGACTTACGGAATAACTTACGTTACAACAGCCGCAAAAAAATCCCGCTTCTGGTTTACAGTTGGTTGCTGTGTCAGTGGAGTTTTTGCAGAAATCTCCAATTTGACTTTGTCCTTCCTGATTCCGGAACGTCGTCACACTTCTCCCGCAAAGCACGGAGAAGAGCGCCCCCTGCTGGCGACGGGCTGCAAAGAGCAGAGCCGAATTCAATCTGACCGCTTCCAACCGAATTCCTAAAAATGATAAAAAATTACATTAAAAGCACACGTTACTCTGGTTTTGTAGTTTCACACATTCAGATTTTTATTGTTTTTTAAACTAATTTGTCTTATTACACACAGTATATTCATATAAAAATTACCTCTTTGTAATTTTCCAAAGTTGTTTTTATCTCCCAAAAATAAAGTAGTTCTGGGCAAGACTGATGTAAAAATAAATCCCTTTTTGAAGCAAGTATCTGAGGCTGGGCTCAGATAGGTATGACTTTTAGATCCTGCTTATAATACTCTCTACATGATGGCATGCAATATATCCGCAATAGTAATTGGCCGATGACGGCATGTTATCTTTAAAAGAACAATTATTCTATCCTACTATCAGGGGGGAATTTATGGCTTGTCCAAATATTTTCCCATATCTCACTGCCAACACTGTTCTTAGGTCCAATCCTACCTTTGTCTTGAAATTTGTAATGTAAGCCTCAGCTTCTTGACCCGATCAATATCCCTATTTCCTGGTAATCCTGCTTTCATATCTCTCCGTATAGTAAGATACTTGTGCGTCTAATAAGCCATAGAAATCAATGGCGCACAAATTCAGCCTGAACCACTTGAGCCTGTGGTCACAGAGATCAATTGAGACCATGGTTATTTCTTTAATGAGCTATGATATCAGTGTAAACAACAACACATCCTCCATTGTGTAACCCCAATCATTCATCTGACCCTCAGTTTAAACAAACAAAAAAATAACACCAAAAGGTGGCCATGAAATGATCTATCCTATTTTTCTATTGAGATTTGTGACTCTCTGTGTTCGTTTTACACTCAATCTAAAGAGTTTGGATTAGGCCTGTTAGATATATGTTGCATTCAAAGTGTGCATTTGCCTCAAGCATATTTTGAGTGTAAACACAGGGATGAGTTAATGAATATGTGGAGGACGGAATAATGCTCACTGGGGCCAAATTACATTGATGGTCTGAAAAATGGCTTGAAGAGGAGATACATCTCAGGCTATTTGTTTCTCAGTGGTTCACACTGAAACGTGAGCCAAATTCATGAGGAAGATTTTAGCTGACCTCTAAATAAACACATACTCCAAAAAAGTAAGCCTTTGAGGATGAAATAATAATTTTTTTGTGGCATTTTCGAGGAAGTTTCGAACATTTTCCCCATTTATATTCACAGAACACTGCAACATTAAAAGAAAAACATGCATGCTTAATTTGCTTTTCTCAGTTATACAACGTTGGTATGATTTGACGTCTCTAACAGTGTTTCATATAGCAATTTCGTTTTTGTTTTTTTGTTTTTCAGCCATTATCAGAAGTACAAGCATTAGCAAAGCCAGAGCCCACAGTTCTAGTGTTCTCATCATTTTCATACACTATAAAAAAGGAATCAAGGGGAAATGGGACAGAGGAGAGAGGCAACGGGAACTCTTGAAAGGACAGCAACCAGAAACAAATCATGCTCTGGATGCACACAGGACCTGGAACAAACAAACTGCAGTATCATTACCAGCTACCAGAACATGAGAAACGACTAATTATCAATAGCCATAAGGTCAACAGTGAAGTGAGCATGTGAGTGAATGTGTGAGGTTAGTGATTGAATCTCATGCCAAAGGTTTGACATGAACTGTGCACAATAATGGGAGAAGTGAACCACACTTTAGATGTAACCCTATCCTTTTAGGAAATTAGTTTTGACGCACGTGAATTACCACCTCTCTGAAATACCAAATAACTGAGTGCTTCATTTGTCTGATTAATTGTTGGTCTTTGTTTATCAAAATTAGCTCTTCAACCCTCTTTAGGTGACGATTTCTGCAACCTTCCTTGCCTAAAGATAATCTTATTCTCTCACCTCTGTCACTGTAAGCCACTTAGTTCTCTGTGGTCTCTGATGAAAGACTGCCCTTTACATCCTCTGGCCAATTACAGCATAAATGACACTGACCAGAGCTCAGTGCCAGGTCTCATTATGATTTCAGATTCTTCAAGAAAACGTGAAAGGCAATCGGTTCCTTTTCAGGCAAGTCACCCAATTAAAAAGGAAAAGAAATCTAGTTATCTCATGTAAAACAGTTTATTAGCACTTAATTAAGAAATCCAGAATCGATACAGACAGATACAAATATTCTGACACAGTTTGAGAGTGGTGGACTGTGCACATACACACACACACACACAGCGAGAGGGAAACAATCCATAATGCAAATATCACATCAAAACACCAGCTCATAAACAATATCAGATGGTGTCAACTTCTCTTATTTGTCAAGATACCTGAGGGTATTAACGGAGTCTCAATATTAAAGGCATTCACTTTCAAAGGACCTGAAAACAGCCAAGCATTTTGCCCACTAGGAGATGCTATAAGGCCCGTAGCAAAGCGGACTGAATCCTAACCAGCGGACACTTCCAATTTAAGACAGGACTGTGATTGTTGTGAGATACATATAAGACACATGAAACTATATCTGGTTCAAATTGGACTGTCAGTCACATTGACACTGTAATTGTAACAGCTTATTTACTTGATAGCTCTAGTACTGGATTTACATATATATATAGATATATAAATATGTATATATACATACACACATATATATTCATAGCTGGGATTTTGTGAAAGGCTTTCATTCAGTTAAATTCCCATAGATGACTTGCTGTGGAGGTGTCCAGGTTTGCATCCCCAGTTTCATGTTTGGATACATTTAACCTTTCTACATGTTTCCTTTTGACCTTTATGTAATCTTTATGTCATCTGCTCTCCACCCCTCTCTGTATCACGCTTTTGGAGAGAACACAGTTTGAATAACAAGGCTACCTGTGGGAAGCAATCTCTCCTCTCCTCTCTTCTCTTCTCCCCTCTTCTCGGCTGAGGTGATACATTGTGGGCAGCAGGACTTGTCTAATAGACACACATGGTAATTACAGTGGTGGGAGGCAGCAGACAGTGGTGGTCCAGGGACAGCACAAAACTATAAATCACAACTCCTGTGTCTGCCCTCCTGAGCGTAGCCGATCACACTCAACCAAAAAGCAATTCTGCCAACATGTGTTTGCACATTTGTCTTCATCATCCACTGGCTTGTTTTGGGCCCCTGCGACTGAATTTTCCTGTCCCACGGTGATCAAACAAGGACTATTTCTCAAGTGTATTAGTCAAAGTCTTCCACATCGGGCTCACTAATTAAAGTCTCTCGAGATGCTGGCATTAAGATCGCTGCAGATATTTATCTTTTACTTAAAAAAGGCCTTTGTAAAAGAAGAATGAAGCCAGAGCAAAAAACATCTCTAGATATTAATTTGAAGGGATGTTTCTCTTGTTTGTGAGATGCTTCAAAGAGAAGTGTCCAAACAAAAAGTGTGGCTAAAACAAAGGTGTTAAAACCGCGGTGATGGTGACCCAACGTACAGTGTGTGTCCTGTTGTGCTTTATCCATGCGGACAGCTGCCTGTCAGCCAGCTGAGCCTGTGCGGGGCAAAGGTGTCTGCTGAGAAGCTCGTGTCAGCAAGGTGAGATAAGAGCCCGGCTACACTGAGCTGAGCTGAAATGGATGCAGAGGAAAAAGCGTCTCCTGCCTCCGAGGGACACGGCGAGGAAACAGAGACTGCTGGAGCAGGAGACTCAGCCAGACAGAACATGAAAACCAAGAGCGGCCATGACACATGACGGACACAAATGCAAGAGGAGAAGCACTCCACCTCCCCTACCTCGCTGTTCCTCCCATTCAGCAGTGCCGCAGAGACACAAAATCCCCTGGAAAAGAGGGGAGGGGGAAAAAAAAAGGAAGAGATGATGCTTGAACTGCTGTGGCTCACAGTTGAACTCTGGCCCCTTGTAATGTGTGGTCTTTGATGAGGGCTATAATGTTTGGAGAGATGCGAGAAAGCTTCAAAGAGAGCTTCACAGCTTGACCGTTGAATTGATAAAAATAACAGCAAGCTGCCACAAATCCACAGGTATTTTACAAGGGAAGTACGGGGTCAGCCAAGAGGACAGCTGAAAACAATTGCAAGAAATGGGAGGTGACATGAATTGAAAGATAGATAAATAGCTATAGGGGAGGAGGGAGATCTGATGTTGGTGTAAAAGGATGTGATAGGCTTTGGTCTTGGAAAAGCTTCAAGTTAGTTTAACAAAGGTTGGCAGGCCAGTCAATAGATGCCAGCTATCAATGCCCACATCTGAGTGACTCCAGTCCAGTCCAATTTATCCATCCAGTGATGCATAAAGTACTTAAAATCAAATCCCACACTGAAAAAGCTAATAAACAGAACAGAACTTACAAACATCTTTCACACATGTTACAGCAAAAGGAAAGGCCTATAATTTAGTCCTGCATGCGGGGTCTTTTAGTCTCACTCACTTGTGTGTTTTAGTCTTTGGGAAATAATCAGTTCTCCCCCTTTCATCATCTCCCACAATTCTTTGGTCTGGTTTTCTGTGATCCACATGCCCCAGCTGTGAGCCACATCTGCAAGCATGATGGACTTTGTCTGCAGGGGCCCCTTTCAAATGCCACTGCAACTCAACGTCCTCTATCTGGCTTCTGCCGAAAACTGACGTGGCAGCTTAGCAGTGTGCCCTGACGGACTGCCCACAGCATTTTAACAAACAAAGGCTAACATAAAAATGTTTTTTTTTAATTGATTCTGTTCAGTAGAAAAGCCTTCACATGCAGCAAAATACAATGAAGGGAAACACTGGGGGATTGTTCTATCTGGTAGTCTGAGTCAGACGTAAATAGAATGATATGACACCAAACTTGTCATCTCACAGCTTCAGGAATCAATAGAACCCCACATCCTCCTTATAATCTCATCACCATGTGGAGCAAGCTTGAGCTGACAGATTCTGAAACAGAGGCAGGAATGAGGAAGAGAGGAATGAAGGAGACAGAAAGAGACGTGAAGATGGGAGAAAGGGATGTATGCGTAAGAAAAGAGTGTTTAAGTCTGAATTTTTAAGTTTGTC